CCTCAAATTCCTGTGTTTTTCCTGTGGTCTAATCAAACGGTCATTCCTATATTTTTTCTGTGTTTTGCAATCTTCTATTTTACACTTTTATTTATGTCAGAATCATATATTTTTCCTATTCCTGCATTTTTTCATTCCTGTGATTCAAAGGGACCCTAAACCAATTAACCAAGAGCTTTACCGGTTCATTTACCGGTCCGGTCTTTTAACAACTACTACTAGTACGTACGTATCCATCCCTCGATCAAATCCAGTGATGCACCGAACCCGCGACAAGAATTCACTCACCAGTCACCACATCTCATTTCCTCGTGCTGCTTCCACCCCTCCCTCGTCGCCTTGCCAGTTGCCAGTTTGCCACCCTTCCACTCGTTCGCGCTCTCTCTCTCTCTCTCTACAACATCTCTAGTCTCCGCTGTCTCGCACAGACTTCTTTCTCTCTACTCTTCTACTAGTACACTACGCAACAAAGCCAAACGCTGAAGCGCACACGCGCGGACGGGAGGCGCGGCGCTCCTCTCCCCTTCTCTCCTCCACGCACCCCCGGCTTCCGCGCTGCCATTACTGCCCCTCCACCTACCTCTCTGCGCGCCTGATGGCCGGCGACCGCCGCGGCGGCGGCGGCGTCGTCTCGGCCGACGGGGAGCGACGGCGGGGGATCCGGCGCCTGCTGCTGCCCCGCGGCGAGGGGTCGTCGTCGTCCTCGCCGCCGCAGCCGCCGCCGCTGCAGGCGGAGGAGGGGAGGCGGAAGGGGTTCGCGTCGGCGGCGCTGCGCGGGCTGGGTTGCACGTCGGCCGCGGCCTCGCAGGCGTACGCGCCCGGGGCCGGGGCGGCCGCGGCGGCGGCCGTGCGGTCGTCGGCGGACTGGCACGGGCGGAGGCGGAGGAGGGGGAAGGAGAAGAGGAAGGAGAGGGGAGGAGGAGGAGGGGGCGGTGGAGGCGGCCACCTCGTGGGTGGAGGGATCGGCGCCGACGTGTGGTGCGCGCCTGGGATACCGTTCGCCGCGGAGGCGTCGTCCGTGGACTGCGTGGTGGCGCGGCACCAGATGGTGGGGAGAGGCCGTGGCGGCGACGCGGAGAGGCCGCACAGAGAGGTTCGTCGCTTGCGTGCGTGGATGGATGGATGCCGTTGATCCTTCGCTTCTACTTGTTGATTTCGCCTCATGTTCGGATCTGTTCGTGCTCTTGGAACCGATTGGTTTTGCTTGTTCTTTGCTTTCCGGTGGGTGGTCGATCGATTCGGAGTTTTCGTCTCTCATTTACTTGTGTTTCTTTGTGCCTTTTCTTCCACTCCTTTTTGTCTGTTGGCGAAAAAAGATTTAAATTCAACATTCAATACTCTGTTCTTTTTTTCCGTTCTTCTGTTGCTGTTTTCCTCCCACAATCAATTCTGGCGGCTTTAAAAAAACCGTAGCATTTGCCACTGTTCTACCACTTGTATAGTCCTGAGTTCCTGACGAACCAATTAAAGCCAGTCTTTAATGTCGTGTTTGGTCAGTCTAATTAAGTTCTTGTTATCTAAACATGTGACATGTATCTCTTCTGGGCGTACTGAATTCCCCTGTACCGATGCGCGCTGTGCGCGAGCGGAATCTTTGCCATGTTTCTCTGAAATTCTCTCTCCCTCCTCACCAAGTTGATGATGATCTCACCCGCTACGCTTTTTTTTTTTTTTTGCCTTTGCGCAGAGACCGTGCCTGTCCAGGAGGGTGACCGTGCAGGAGCAGATATCGTCGTCGTTCATGGACTCGCCGCCGCCGCCGCACCTCGACGTCGCGCCCTTCTTCGGCGCCGACCTCCTCCCCTCCGGCCGCCTCCGCCGGATGCGCGGGTACCGCCACTCCCCCGTCGGCCTCGAGGAAGAGGTAAAAAACGTCACAGGCTCACGGTAGTAGCAGCAGTACTAGTACTGGCACAGTAGCGCACACTGCAACAAACGTTCGTTCGTTTCCTCGTTGCCCCCACACTGCATTTTGCTTGCTTGCACACTTGTCCTGAGCCACCGCATTGCATGCATCGGTAGATACATTTTTCCAACGTACTCCTAAGTCGGAGATGGACACGGCCCGCAACAAGTGCGCATGCTGACAGCGGTTGGTGGTGCGACACGCTGCCTGCCTGCATAAGATTCCCGTGCGTAGGGTAGTTTAGCGCGTGATCTGACATGCGTATTAAGCAGCTGTAACGCGTGATATAGATTAATAGTAGTAGTATTAGAAGTGGAGTAGATTGATTGTCTGGTGGTGCGCGAGTGAACCTGGGGGGTGGCCGGCTGGCCGGGTGGGCGTTGGAAGTGGTTGACTTGCATCTTTCGTGCGCTAAACGTGACGTGAGATCGTGGCCTTCTTGGAGGTTAACTAATCGGCAGCCTTACACAGGCGCGCACAATAATTGTATAAGCGGTTGCAGTTGCAAGCCATGGCACCTGCATTATGCGCGCTGGTTAGCGTAGTGGCCGTACACTCGTTTAGGATTAATGCGGCTGAGAAGGGAGGGAACGAGACAGTGGGATGTGGCCACAGCTTTGGAAAGAGACCTCTCAACCATGGTCATACACTTCCATGAATGCTTCTCGTTGTGTGTATACACCGTGCCAACTACAAGTATAAATGCTGGATACTCTTGCTGAGCTGATCAGAAATGTTGCCGGTAATGGTCAATTGTTGTCTCAACGGTGCTAGTATTTCAGGATGCGGGCAAGGAGTGCTGGAGCACACCTGGGAATGCCAAGCAATAGTATGGTTTATTCTATCTACTGTCATGCTGTTCTGTGGTGGATCGTACGGTTGGTAGGAATGGGCATGCTGGTATGGTGCGTGAATGATTGGTTGCCTCCGATGGCAGATCGAGAGTCCTAGCAGTTCACCATTTATGATTAGTGCTCGGCTGTGCTGCTTGACTGAACTATTCTTTTGGTGCTTAAGGGGGACCAACGCTCCTTATCATGTTCCTGTTGCTTCAGTCATAATCAGATCTAGAGTTGTAGTCATTCCTTCTGGTCCTTCTGGATTTCATGTGGGCATGTGATTGGTGATGACTCCTTAATAATAGCTCAACATCAAGATCCACAAGGATTGTCGGTCCCGCACTGCCATTGCCTATCAAGATATATATTTGAGGGGATTTGCTTTAATGTGCTTTGGTGCCTAGTTCAGGGAAGTCCATTTCCTTACCTATAAACATTTTTTCTATCTAGTTTTACTTCTGTGCTATACCTCTGTTTTCTGACTTAGGTTTTCCACTGTCATAAGAATTCATATTTGATTTTGGTGCACATTCCAAACAGTCGTAAAGAAAGCTACTATATATTTATCTGGTGCTTCAATCTAACCTTTCTATGTAATCGTAAAGAATATAAGAGATACGTCAGTGCAGCTGTAGAAGCATATTTAGCTGCACACTTTGTACTCTACTTGGAAGAATAACCAGCCCGATGGTCAGTGATTGAGGGTTAACTTGTGCTAAGCGGTGCAGTTGTTAATCTGTGATCTTCCTGGCAGACATATACATAATTATGCATGTTGCTAGCTCAATAAGCAGCCTTATCAAAGGTAGCGAGTTCAAATACTTAATGAAACTGTTTTTGATATGGCAGATCATGATGTTTCAGACAAGAGTTCTGTTGGGAGGAATGAGCATGTATGATCGGTACCAGGATTGGCGCCTTGATGTTGATAACATGACATACGAGGTTTGTCTCTTTGCCTTGTAGCATCACTTTTCACCACCACCACCACCATCATCATCAATTGCTTCGTTTTACAGGAGTTGCTTGAGCTTGGAGATAAAATAGGTTATGTCAACACTGGATTGCGTGAGGATGAGATAGTTCGCAACCTTAGGAAGGTCAAACACCCAGCCTTTGACTCCTCGTTCCGGTATTCAACAGAAATGGAAAAGAAATGCAGTATTTGTCAAGTATGCCACAACCTCTTCTCTTGAGTTATCTTCTTCCCTTCAGTCATTATACAGGGTATCCAGTGTCTGGCATGTGAACAAACTTCATTCTCATGTCAATGTGTTGCAGGAAGAGTTTGAAGCCAATGAAGAGATGGGGAGGCTGGATTGCGGCCACAGCTACCATGTTTACTGCATTAAGCAATGGCTTTCTCAGAAGAACGTTTGCCCAGTTTGCAAGACTGCCGTTACCAAGACTTGAAGTCCGGACTCCGGGCAACGACGATTGTATACCTGGGTCAAACTTTCAAAACATGTTTGTTTGTGCTCTGTACAGTCAATTACATATGTTATTGTATAAACACATCATCCATTCTTTTGCATTTGCAGATAGAAATGCCATATTGAGGCATCCTTTATCAAATATATGTTACTCTTATCTCAGGTGTCAATATTGGCACAGTCCGGGACGGCAGCTAGTGTCTTGTGCAACCTCATTCGATCCTTCACGTGTTAGTTGCTTTAGCTTGAAACAATCAGATGAGCACGTCTGAATATTACCACTCTGCGAGTTTCTTTTAACAAAATCGTGTTTTCAGTTACGTTTCCAATGAAGCTGATTCGGCAAGTAGTCAATACTGTATTAGCAGCTATCTAGCCAAGATACTAGCTGCTGCGGTGCTGCCATTACAAATACTTGTATCTTCCTGGCAAAAAGACCTTTTCTTATTTATCTGACATTACTAGTGAATAGTGATATGTGTTTCTGGCATTTCTGCAGGCGATGATCAGTGCCACCGTGCCCGTGTAAGCCTCTTGTCTCTTTTTGTGAAGGAATAAAACATTTACATATATAGGTTATAAATCAACTGTTGTGGTAATAAACTACAAGCTTGGACCTTGGATATAGAAAAGGGAGCGAAACGAATAACACACTTTTGTACCTCACCATTCCATTACCATTTTGATGATTTCAGTTCCAATATAGGATGAAATTGTGCACTCGTGCAATAGCGTGTTGGAGCTCTAACATCTAACATTTACGCCAATAACAAAACTTAGGAAGACACTTCATCATGCTGGGAGAGGAACTCTATTATACAAGGGTACACTTCGTGGACAGCCTACATGATAAAACATACCACAGTAAACAAACAGCTTTATATCCTTTAAGTACTCATTAATGTAAACATACCTTTCGCCCTCCAACCAAGTCATAATGCGCATAATGAGGGCCTTCGGGCTTTCCAAAAACCTTATATGTCACCAAATGCTGAGGAATTAACTTCACCGTTTCTGCAAATACAAGAAAATGTTGTTGTGATATGTATTTATGAAGAAACTAAAAAATACATAATCAAACAATGAAGCCAAAGAGAGATCATAGTATATGCATTATCTAATAGCATGGCCTACTTTAGCTAGGGATATAACCCAGACCAGTATAGGCCGTGTTTAGTTTCCCCCCTATTTCCAACTTTCCATCACATCATATCACATCAAAAACTTTCCTACACACATAAACTTCCAACTTTTTTTCCAAACTCCCAACTTTCTTAAAACTTCCAACTTTTTTCAGGAACTAAACACACCCATAGATGAGAACTTGAGAATTGCAGTTAGGCAGTACGATATGAGCTAATCTTGTGACTACAGATCTTTGGGGTCCAAGAGTCAGCTGCATTAAGTAGTTCACTATAAATGACTTTCACTTGGCTAACTTCAGATGATAACCTGAATAGGTATTCATTTTATAAAATTCCAAAAAAGTCCTCATCGCGAAATAACAGTGCAAATATGGAGCTTATTACCATACCATAAACAGCTTCCGGGGGGCAAATCAGATCCTCATCTCCAGCAAGGGCAAGTATTGGCACTTTGATTTTGTGCAGATGCTGCTTGAAGAAAAAGGTACCAGCCCTGTTGCGCAGCCCACCATCACGGAATGCAGTTGTCAGCTGTAGTAAAACCTTTGCTGGCACCGTGCCTGAACAATAATGCATCAAGTCATCACAAGAACTTCAAGGGCTTCCTTATTGAAATTCATGTATCATAAAGATGGCAGGCAGATAAAAATGAACCAGTGCAATCAATACTCCTACAGATGGTAACAGAAACTTCATGGTGGAACAGTGCCATATGAGCATATCATGCAATAACATTCAGGCTATGTATATCTATCATATGCTTACAGTATAAGGTAAAGATTAACCTGGCTAGGCTATATTTGTAAAATGTGCAACTTCTTAGGAATAGAAGTGTTCGCTTGACCATATCATCATACTACACTTGGATGGCAAGTTCCTCCGTGAACAATATCAGGTTGTTGTACCTTTTTATGAAACAACTTACAGATATGACAAAGCTTAAATATGAAACTTACAGAAGTTATTCAAGACAAGCTTCGAAAGCAGATCAGGATCCATCATGTCCTTTGATGAAATTTGAGAGCGCAGCAATGACAGAATATAGGGTGCACGAGACGATATAGGGTAAGTGGTAGACAGTAATGTTCCTACAGGGATAGCAGGAACACGTAACATCTCAGCTGGGTCTGCCTAATAAAATTGAAGATTAGGTTCCTGTATATGTATATTAGTACAGTAAATTAAATTGCACGATGGTCAACTTACAAGAGGCAATAGCAACTTGAGTGATGAGTTAGATGTTGTGTAGTCAACTGATGAGGCCAAAGTAACAATTGCTACCAGCTCTGGCTCAGCACCTTCACATCCTTTTGAGGCAGAAACACAGAACAAGAATCATGTATTGATAACAGAATGTAAATTTCTGATTCATAGCATAAGAAATATTTAAGACTATCCTAAAAAATGTGGAATATCAACATTGTTAAATAAATATGTTGTTTTCTTGCTATCTGAGACAGATCAAAAGAAGATTTCCAGTTATACATACCACACTTTGAAACCATTGCATATAATAATATTCCCCCCATTGAATGACCAATGGCAAGCAGTTTGCCATCCTTTGTTGGGCTTTGCTGTTTAATATAATTCATCTGCATGATAAAAAGAGAAAAGATTAACACTTTTTACCAGGGTTCCCAGGTATCAATCGAGTGATCTTTATAGATGGAAGGCTAAGTTAACAAACCGCGGCAGGTACATCCTCCTCCAAATAATGGTCAAAGTCCCAATCATAGCTAATAATGAGCTCCAATTGTTTCTGTAGATCTTCTATTGTTGCAGACAGGCGTTCTTGCCAACCAAATAGCCGAGGTGATATATTCTGTTGACCTTCCCCAAGAATATTCACAAGACGTAGACTTAAATGGCTTATTTGATCTGATATTGCTGATGTTTGTGGCAATTCCAGTAAGCCCAAAATTTTTTCTGAGACTTCCTCAAGACTACTAGTTAATGAGGCATCAGGAACAAGTTCTGACACTTGATTAAAAAAGCCATCAGCGATACTTCTCAGTCGACTATCTTTTACATAACCTGAGAATGTATCACCCAATCGTGCCAAAGTATTTGATAACTTTGTCACCAGCTGTGGTTCTTCTAATGCATTACTCTCTATTACATCCTTATCTTCTACTACTGGAACTTCAAATTTATCTTCTACTACTGGAACTTCGAAATTTTGAGCTAGACAAGTGGAATCATCCTTGGCAGGTCCAGCGCCATTTAATTTCTGTGTAGTAATCTCATCCAATGCAGAACTTCGAGACATGTCAGATGTGGTGTCAGCTACAGCTAGTTCAGATCCACGCATGCTCAGGCCTGCACCACGCACTTCGACAATCCATGTATCAAACCCTTGCATGGACATATGACGTGCAAATGAAGCCTGACAAAATTATTATAGTCAAAATCAAGGGAAAATATAAACAGAATTCTATAACCATGACCGGCAATAACAAGTTCGTTATACAATTTTTGCTTATGAGTAAACAATATAGAATATCAAACAGACAGTGACCAAGGCATGAGTAAACAAACTTCTAAAACGAAATACATTTACATTTTTTTAGAAAAAAATAAACAGAGGTATCTTTAAAATAAGAGTAAGCAAAATGCCCCAAAACATGTGTTTTTTTAAACTTACCGCTATAAAAGCACAACTACTACATCTTTTATCTGAAGCCTGAAGTAGGGCGCACCAGCATAACTTTTACTGGAAGATGTGTACAATTTTACCAATGTATCTATGCAATTTTTTTTCTTGCACAAACTCGTGTTCTGAATTGTGTGATATGTCCGCGAGATTCTTACTCAAGAAATTCTGCCCAGCTGTATTGTAGCTTTAATGCTATCTTTTATGCACCAAAACCCCAGTTTCTGTTCTCATGAAATTTCATAGCTGTCAAAAATGGAGTATTTTTTTCCACCAAATTACATAAGAGATGCACTTAAACTTTTTAAATTTTCGTTATTCCCTAGTTCTGCTGATCTGCTTTGTGCCATGCTTGAATCAGCATTTGGAGCCTTATTGCATCCTAAACATTGCAAAGTAAGGAAGCATTGTCACACTAGTTGGTCCAGAAAGTTCTGTTTACTGCAGCGATTTGTTTTCCAACTTATTTTTGTTCAGTGTATTTACAGCATGGAGTAAATTCTCTGTTGTTCCAAAACATAGTTACTTCTCCACATTAAGTGTACAGAACTATAAAATTGTAACAACAATGATCAGCTCTTTCCGAATTTTAATCCCTAATTCCCAAGATAATTGCTAATTTATACTCAGATTAAATCATTCATCCTATCTGGAACTAAGCGGTAAGCGATTTGTAGCGATTAACTAAACCTCATATTTTTTTTGTCAAAAAAGAATAGAAAAGTACTCATTGCCGATCGATTATGCACACAACTCCACAAGTTAGGATCATATAGATATACTAACCCCAGGAGACAGGTCAAATCCAATCGCATTGGTGGCCACTCCCGAGAGCAGCATCAGCGGGTGATTCCTCTTGGGCGCCTGCACAAACCAAGCTAGAACCAAATCAACAACCATAACCACTAACCAGCCGCCACCCTCTCCGCTGGGAGGGGAATAAGCACGCGCACCTCAGGCGGCGGGCGGTACCGCCAGAGCGCGAGCCGCCACTCTGTGCCGGGCACGGGCACGTAGTGCAGCTCATCCGCCGTGCAGATCGCGGGCTTCGCCCCCTGCTCGCACGCGGCGGCCGCGGAGGCGAGGGCGCGGGATGGCGACGGCGAGGATGGTTGGGGCGGCGGCGGGGGAGGCGGCGAGGCGCGGTAGGAGGCGAAGGCCCGGACGCGCGGCGGCGGCGGGGGAGCCGGAGGGGGAGGGGCGGACGGGGAGGAGGCGCGCGCGGTGGCGGCGGGGGAGGAGAGGTGCGCGAAGGCGGCGCCGGCGAGGAGGACGCGGAGGTTGGCCGCGTGGAGGAGCGGCATGGCGGTTGGAGTTGGAGTCCCTCGCGCTCTGGCCGCCTCTGCTGCGTTCTCCGGCTTTGGTTGCGCCGCTTCAACATCGAAGGCCGGTGGTGACACTGACCGATGGGCCAGTCTATGTGGAGAAAATTGACATTTAACCATGTTCGGGATGGGGTTTCGCTGGAATGCTAGTCCCGAATATGGTTTTGTTATAATGTCATTGTCAAATGAAGCCAACTTGCTAGAATGCCATTTCAACCATTTTAACTGATTTCCAAATGTTTTTTATCGTGCTCTGACATATTTGCCCCTAGTCATTTTGTTGACTTTGCAGGGGAAAGGAGAAAAGGGATCGATCCCCATCCGGTCGCCGGCGGTGGAGTGTAGCAGCGGCAGCGACGACGGGGCGTAGCTACGAGTCGGTGGCCGCCAGCTCCTCATCCTCGTCACCACCACCACGCCAACATCCGTCGGCTCGCCGTGGACGCGACGGAGAGGGCGAGGAGGGAGGGGCGGAGCTCGCCGTGGGCGCGACTTAGGCGATGGGCGTGGTGGAGTGGTGGGGAGCTATGGGAGGGAGGCATAGGGGATGCCGGCGAGGCACTCAAGGAGGAGGTCGTCGAGGAGGATGGAGATGGGGGTCGGCGATGAGGTGCCGGCGCGGCTGGGGACAGGGACGGCACCGGCGTGGGTTGGGGAAGGCTGCTCGGCTCAGCGGCGCCATCTGCATCGGCGTAGGAGAACATCCCACCTGCCCCAACCATGTCGGCGCTACCGCCGTCCCCGTCCCTAGCCGCGTCGCCGCCGTCCCCGTCCCCGTCCCCATCCGCAACGCCGCCTTCTCATCCCCAGTTGCGTCGCTACCGTCCCCATCCACACCGCCGCGTTCCCCGTCCCCGGGCGCGCCGCCGCCGTCCCCGTCCCTGGCCGCGCCACCACCATCCCCGTTTCTGGCTGCGTCGCCGAGCCGAACGGAGAGGAGGAAGACAGAGAGGAGAGATGAGATAGGATCAAGGATATTTTGGTCATCTCAGCAATAAAAAACATTAAACTGAGAAGAAATGGATGGAATAGCATTGCAACATGTTGCCCCCTGTTTGAGGGTAGCATTCCAGCGAAACCCTGTTTTGACAATAGCTAAATGTCAATTTTCTCGTCTATGTGGCAGTCGCCATCTAACGGGAAAGGAATTTCGTGACACGTTCACCGCCTTAACAAGCAACACGTATGAAGTAGCTGTACAGATCGGGCCGGAAATCTGTGTTCGCGAGGAGCATCTTTGTGTGAACAGTTTGTGTGAGGTCATTAAAACGGGAAGGAATGCGGAAATAAGCCAACAAAATTTGCCTAATTTGCAGCTGTCGTCGACCTGTCGTGCTGCACGCATGGTCCGGAAAGAAGCACGCCCGGGCTAGCGCTAGAGTCCTTACTAAATTTTGCAGTTCTAGAAGCTTCCTCTCTTAAAAACTCTATCAGAATTTACAGAAGTGCTATATGACGGGATCCCGTCCCAACCATGATGGATGGGATAAGTTAGCAACCAACCAATCCATCGATTCTATCTTCTTCTACCTTATCTATTCTACCATATTACCACATCTCTCTCAAAGCATGACTGCTGCACGAGCTCGGTGCGGCACACCCCGGGGTGTGGATGGCGGAGGACACGGTCGCAAGCGACGAGCTCCGGCGTGGCCGCCGGCGACGAGCTCCCAACGTGGCATGGCTGTGGACGGCGGAGGATGCAACCTCCGACAACGAGCTCCGGCGCATGGCTATGGACGGCGGAAGATGCAGCCTCCAGTGACGAGCTTCGGTGTGGCCGCCGGCGACGAGCTCCGACGTGGTGCAGCGCGTGGACAGCGGAGGACGTGGCCACCGGCGACGAGCCCGGCGTGGCGCGTGGCGGCAGAGGATGCTACCGCCAGCAACAAGCCTGGTGTGGGGCGTGGTAGCGAAGGACGCGGCTACCGGCGACGAGCTCCGACGTGGGGCGTGGATGACGAAGGACACGGCTGCCGGCGACGACCTCTGACATAAGGCGTCGACGACAGAGGACGCGGCCGCCGGCGACAACCTCCGACATGGGGCGTGGAGGGTGGGGCTGCCGGCAACGACGCCTCGGTGCTCAGCTCCTGATACCTAGTAGGAATTACCTGATATCTGGTAGGTATCATCTGATACCTCGCAAGTATCACTCGATACGTGGGAGAAATCGTCTGATACCTGATAGGTATCACATGATACCTCACGAGTATCACCCAATACATGGTAGAAATCGTCTGATATCTGATAGGTATCACATGATATATCACGAGTATCATCCGATACGTGGTAGAAATCATTTGATACTTTATATGTATCACTTGATACCGGTTAAGTTTCAAGACACGATACATGTATAGCAGCCCGTTCGAAAACGGGATTCCGTTGTATAGCAGCCCTCCAGAATTTAACAAATACATCAAAACAAAGTAAATAAAACCAACACTATCGAAATTCGATAATGCCAAAATGTGAAAAAAAAATAGATTACCAAAATATGGTATGGTTGATTTGGGTAACAAGGTCAACAAAGCCCCCTTAAAGCTGATGAACACGAGTTTAATTTTAACTCTGCTAGGGCAATAACCAACAACTGATCCAAGCCATCCATCCTATCCAACAGACCACACAAAACTCGTCACTTGTTGACGTCCAGCCATCCATTTAGGAACGTGCAGGTTACATTATGTAGTGAACGGATGGCCAGCTTAATATGTACTTACATCTAGCCCAAGTATACAGTATCAGTGCCATTAATCCCGCGAAACTGATGATCAAAACATTCTTGTGCTGCGCCGCCGGAAATCAGAACAAGAAAAACGGTCGCAGCGTCGCGAGCGGTCATGACAATCTACGCAGCTCGATCAGTTGGTGTTCTTTTTGCCGCCTCTTTTATTCTTGATCAGCTTCAGGAGGTTGGGCATCACCTTCCTCTTCCTCTTGATGGTGAACGACGGCGAGCGCGGGTTCCATGCGCCCGCGGACACCGACGACCGCCGGGGCTTGGACCTCCTCGACGTCGCCGACACCCTGCTCGACCGCCGCCGCGGGTACGCGCACTGCAGGCCGTCCCTCTCCGCCGCCGCGTTCAGGTCGTACAGCTCCTGCTCCAGCTCCTTCTGCTCCGCCGCCGTCTTCTCCGCCTCCGCCGCCACCTGCGCCGCCCTGGCCTCCATCTCCCTCACCTCCCGCTCCGCCGCCTCGGCGCGCGCCGCGGCCTCCTTCTCGCTGGCCTTCAGCGCCTGCACCCACGCCTGCGCCGCGGCCACCTTCTTGTCGGTCACCACCCGGACCAGCGCCGCGCGCCCGGTCAGGTACTCGTACTCGAACCGGGAGATGGTCATCGTCCCCTGCCGCCGTGCCGCCGACGACGCCCTGGCCTGCATCGTGCTCTCCACGGTGTCCCTGAGCTTCCTCATCGCCTCGGCCTCCAACGCTTTCGCCGCATCCAGCTCCTTCACCGACTGCTTGATCCGTCCCTCGGTCGTGGCGATCTCCTTCTCGATGTTCTCGGCCTCCGCGATCACGCACCGTTTCTCCAGCTTGGTGAGGTCCTCCTCCATCCTCGCCGCCTCCGTCTCGGCTTTCAGTTGCTTCATCGCCGCCGCCAAGTTGGACACGATCGCCTTCGACCTCTCGTCGGCCGCCGTGACGGCCTCCAACCGCGCCTTCGCCTTGAGGAGCTTGGTGTTCAGCTGTTGCACCTGCGCGTCCGCTTTCTTTTCCTTCGCCTTGAGCAGGCGGATCTCCTCGGCGACGCGCATGATCTCGGTGCGCGTGCAGTCCATGGACGTCATGAACTGGAAGCTCCCGGCCTTGATCGTCTCCAGCTCCTTCTTCGCCGCGTCCAGCTCGGCCTCCGCGGTCTTCAGCAGCGCCTTGTCCTGCGCCTCCTCCTTCTTCCTCCTCGCTGCGTCCTCCGCCGCCTCGTCGCTCTTGGCGTGGCTCTTCTCCATGGCGCGCACCAGCTCCATCTCGGCCTGAAGCACCTCCACGTCGGAGTTCGTCACGGCGAGCTTCGCCTCCATCTCCCTCGCGCGGCTCGCCTCCTTCTGCAGCGCCCTGACCCTGGCCCTCGCGGCCTCGATGTCCGCGGCGAACCGCTCGGCCTCGGCGCCGCGCTGGGCCTCGATCTCGCGGCGCTCCCGCTCGGCCTCGATGCGCGCCAGCTCCACCAGCACGTGCTCCTCGTTCGCCTCGTCCACCCGCCGCTTCATCTCGTCGATGGCGCGGAGGCTGGACTGGATCGTGCACGCCGACGCCACGATGTCGCGCTCGGCCTTCGCCTTGGCCTCCGCCGCGGACCGCACCTCGAGCCGCAGCCGGAGCAGCTCCTTCTTGGCTTGGTCCAGCTCCTGCACCACCTCCGCGTACCGCGCGTCGCGCTCCGCGCCCGGTGCGTCGGTGCCCTTCCTCCTCGTCCTCGCTGCCCACATTGCTTGGAGCTCCGACCTCTGGGACGTGGCTTTGGCCGTTGTCTGCTCGATTTGGCGCTCAAGCTCCTTCGCCATGGCTCGCGCTCTCGACAGCTCGGACTCGGCGCCGGCTCTCTCTTTATCCACGTACGCCTTGCGTTCATTCAGCTTGTCCAGACCGGATTGTGCTAGCTGCTTCATTTCAGAAGACAGATTCTGCACATATATATACCGAAATGGATATAAAGATACAGATACAGTGCGTTTTTACAGAAATCGTATAAAAATACAATGAAATTGAGAACTGTTGAACTTGAGGTTTGTTCACAAGAATCAGAAAAGCGTGTGAATTCAGACACTACCTCTTGGGCTGGAACAGTTCCTCTGTTCTTGTCTGCCTTCCTCCCGTTGATGCTTTCGCCAAAGATGCTCATCGCAGCTCGAAATGACCCACTTCGTCCCAAGTTCTCATCCATGGTGATGGCGGCCTCCATTTTATCGCACCAAAGAAAAGGTGAATTGCACCAAGGCTGAATCTTTCGAACGAAAAATTCTTGGAAGTACTTATTTGTTTGGAGAACAGTTAAGACAAGGGAGAGCTTGTGTGTTGGTAAATGAGGACAAGTGTAGCAGCTCGCGGGTCTATCCTGCTTGCATGACTAGAGGAGCTCACTACCACACAAGTACACAACATGTCGATCCCGTTATATTATCCACCTTGTTCTTGTCTGAACTTCGCAGTTGTTGGTTTTCACTAGCCAATAATTTTTTGTTATTATTTTGAAACTGACTAGCCAATAACTTACAACGCTCAATTTACGCCAAATAAAAGCATCTCTTAGAGTTGGAGGTCAGCTAAATAGTTTCAGCTCATCCAAAATAGGAATGGAGCTGGATAAAACGCTCTCACAAAATAAACTAGAGAGATAGAAATAGGTTTAGAGCATCTTTCCCATCCTTAAGGAAGTACCATGAGGTACGAGGTAACATGAGGTACCAATCTAATCTAACCGTTGATTTAACAGGGGTATAATTGGGCTAACAAAAATTAGGTCTCTCTTCCATTCTTCCATGTCGTCGTCGCCCATCGAGGGCCGTCCCGCATCGAGGCCGGCGCCGTCGTCGCCCATCGAGCTCGTCGCCGCCCTTGCCGTCGGGCATCGACCGCCGCCGTCATCGCCCATCGAGCTCGCCGCCGCCGCCGTCGTTGCCCATCGAGCTCGCCGCCGCCGTCGTCGCCCATCGAGCTCGCTGCCGCCGTCGGGCATCGACCGCCGCCGGCGCATCGAGCCCACCGTCGGGCATCGACCCCCGCCATCGCGCATCGACCGCTGCCGTCGGGCATCGACCTCCACCGCCGCGCATCGACCTCCGCCGTCGCGCATTGATCGCCGCCGCCACGCATCGACCTCCGCCGTCGCGAATCGAGCCCGCCGCCGCCGTCGCGCATCCAGCGCCGCCGTCACGCATCGAACCCTCCGCCGTCGTCGCCCATCGAGGTTGCCGTCGCCGTCACGCGTCACGCATCCAGCCGCTGTCGTCGTGCATCCAGCCGTCGCCGCCACCGCCGCTGCTGCCGGCGTCGGCCATCGAGCCCGCCGCTGCCGCCACCGTCGCGCCTCTCGCCGATTGCCGTCGCACCGAGCCGCCGCGCCTCTCGCCGCAATCTCGCTGCTCTCCCCGATTTTTCCTCTCGTGAAACAGGAAAGGATAGAAATACCCTTCCACCAATGGTACCACTTCAATGAGGAGGTGCAGTACCATGAGGTACGGATGATTTCTAACCGTTGAATGATGCTAGATCAACGGTCAGGATTTGGTATTGCACAACCTCAACAGTAAAAAACCCTCATAGGTTTAGGCTCCTTCATAACTCTCCTTTAAATCTAACTCCTGATTTTAGGAATTAGAGTTTTACCAAACGAACCTTGACGTGGATTGTTGAATACTATTAGAGTACAAGTTTAGAAGTACTGAGAAGAATAGAGAAGAAAAGGAGTACGACAAACGGTATCTTTCAGATATTTTCCGGCCACTGCCTTGCGAGTGGTTTGTATTTCGTTTCGTCGATGAGGATGCTGTAGTTTGAAGTTCACGCATGTGTCTTTTGCAGAGATAGATTAGAGCAAAAATTGGATCACGTGCGTCAGTACATGAGATTCATCGATCAAAACTGTGAACTCGGAGTGACCATTGAATCATCGGTTCATTGCACATTCACACAGGGGCTTCGTTAAAATATCGTCGTATCATGTAACATTTCTTCTACTTTTGCGTATTGGAGTTAAATCTTAAAATCATGATCTTAGGCTATGCACGATCACCTAATTTCTCTTATACAGAATTTGATGGTGTACTGACCGGATGAAGAAGCCATATGGTTGCCTTAGATGCGTCGGTGTAGTAGTTGTGAGGCGACGGTGATGAAGATCACCATGCAGTGACGGCGATGGGAATTCGCCCTTCACTCCCCTTCAACACGCCTTAAAATCGGTAGTTTGAGGGTTTGGAGAATTGGCTTAGCGTACATGAGTCGTCGCTCGTGCACGGGGTTAAGGTTCCCTTTTTATGCGTATTGAGGGGATCAGGGGTGATTCCTTCTCGAGGAAAATGACGCTTCCGATCATAAAGCTAAAGAGAGAAACGTGTGAGAGAATGCGTGAGACTCGTTCCTCAATGTTAGGGATCGCGTGGGCTTTGGTGGGCTAAGCCCAACGCTCTCCTTTCTGGCTCGGTGGCCAGACATCAACCAACATTGCGTACTCGTTTTGCACATGTACTATCTTGGTGTTATGCATCTATTTATATATGCCCTCTGCGTTCCAGACTTCCGGGCGTCCCCAACCTGCAATGGAATAAGTTCACTTTGAGTCCCTCAAATACTGCTCCAATCTGATTCATACCCCTCAACCACAATACCATATATCTTGATTCTTGACCCTTAAACTATATTGGAACCAGTGTTTTCGCTGACGTGGCTCGTTGACTTGGTCAACCCCTACGATAATGTGGCAGCCCAGTCACAAATTAGAAGTGGGCCCATATGTAAGTGACTAGAGAGAGAAAAAACTATGACCCATTTGTCATACTCGTTGACACTGTACCCCTTATATCTCCCTTCCCTCTCCTGCTCTCCCTGATCGACAATGCCGATTGGCGAACGAGGGAGCGGTGGCATGGGCCTGGGGTGGCAGGTGGCGGCGATAGCCACCAGCAAGTGCCGGAGAGGCGGAGAGGGGGCTAGGGAACTGGCGTGCCGCCAGCACTAGGGGTTGGGGGTTGGGGCATTGCCGTGGCAGCGGAGGAGGTGCACTGAGGAGAGGAGGGGTGGGTAAGGAGCAGATGAAAGCGGAGTAATGGTCGCGGCGAAGGAGGAGCTCGAGCTCCATGACGTAGTAGAGAGAGAATGTTAGTGGGCCCACATTTATGTTTTTTTAATTTTTATATGCCACATAAGCATCACGTCAATGTCACGTAGGACGAAAACTGGTCAACACCACCATGTAGACGCACGACAGCGAAACTGCTCTTCAAAACCACCGAGGAAGACAAATTGCATCAGTTTTAATAGTTGGAGGGTCAAGATACCCGGTTAGTCAAGGCAGTCAAAGTGAACTTATTCAACCTGCAATCCCTCTGTCTCCGAACGCAGGCCCGTTGGCCCAGCTGCGCAATGCCTGCTGCCGTGCTCCGTCTCGAACTCTCGATCCCCTGTAACCTGTTTCTCGTCTTCCTACTCCTTTGGACTACTAGCCCGACGCGACCAAAGCTGAATCAACCTATGGATGCAGTGGCCCAATGCCCACTGGCCAGCTGGTCCACTCCGTCGATCTCGTCTTCTTCCTTTCCACGGCACACGGCAGCGCTGACGGAATCACTCACTGGCCACTCAACTTGCTACTCATACCCGATGATCAACTGAGCCAATATATACACTCGTTCTCTTCAGACTTCAGTGCAAGATCACGATTCACGAGTCCGCGATGGCAGGACGTGGTGGAGGAGGAGAGCTGCGGCTGCTGGGGACGTGGTCGAGCCCGTGGGTGATCCGGGTGAGAGTGGCGCTGGGGATGAAGGGGCTGAGCTACGAGTACACCGAGGAGGACCTCTCCAGCAAGAGCGACCACCTGCTCAGGTCCAACCCGGTGCACGAGAAGGTCCCCGTCCTCATCCACGGCGGCCGGCCGGTGTGCGAGTCGCTCGTCGTCCTGGAGTACATCGACGAGACCTGGGGAGCCACCGGGACGCCGCAGCTCCTCCCTGCCGATCCCTACGACCGCGCCACCGCGCGTTTCTGGACCAACTACGTCAACGACACGGTATAATGACTGGACATCAGAACGGCAGATAGGAATTCTGTTTGATTGGTTGATTTCCTTTGCAATTTTTTCTGCAGTTTTTCCCGTCGTGGAAAGTGCTGTTCAGGTCGACGGCGGCGGAGCAGAGAGCTGAGGCGTTCAAGAACGTCGTCCCTCGCGTGGAGGCGCTGGAGCGAGCGTTCGGGGAGTGCTCCAAGGGGAAGGCCTTCTTCGGCGGGGACGACGCGGGGCTCGTCGACGTCGCGCTCGGGAGCCATCTGGTGTGGATCAAGGTGGTGGACGAGGTGGCCGGCGCCAACCTGCTCGACGAGGCCAAGTTCCCGGGCTTGGCGGCGTGGGCGGAGCGGTTCTTGGCCGTCGACGCTGTCAGGCAGGTGATGCCCGACGCCGGCGATGTTCTGAAGCAGTACAAGGGGTTCCTGGCCAAATGGACTGCAGGCGCTGGTTCGAGCTGAACCTGAACACAACGGCGTTGCCTGCTTTCGTCTTCGTGGATTTTCTAGGTGTAGAAAATACTTTCTGCTTCGGGGATCTGTACTTTGAGGAGTACGTTGACACGCGTGATGAATAACAGTTTTCTTTTTTGTTTCATAAAAGGAGGGAAATGTTGACACGCTGTTCAGTGAACTACTTTAGTGTTTCTAGACGAACCACTTAGTTGATTTGCTAAGCACACTTTTAAACGGCAAATATCGTTCTTCCTTGTCACGAAATTCGTATCGTTCCATTAAGTTGCATTCTTTTGGAAAACTATATTTCATCCTTAAGGTACATCCCCTCGCTTTGCATGTCACCCAAAAAATCATCTAAAGTCTTAAAAAAAGAATTGGTATGACAGATTGATCTATCATGTCAAAAATTTTAAAACTTTTTTGATGACACGTACAAAACGAGCGTATGTCTTCTGTTAAGAGATAAAAATCCACTTCCTGTTCCTTTTAAGCGTCCGAAGACATTTTTGGAGGATGACAAAATGGTTCTCCATGTTTGAAATCGTGGACTGGAAGTAGTTACAGACACCAATATACGATATATACTGTATTATCTTACTCCCTCCGTTCTATTTTGAGCGCAACCATAAATTTCTGCGTCCAAGGGCCTGCTCGGCTGCCCTTTTTGAAGCCACACGACAGCGAGCTGCAGCTGCAAGCAGCACAGCTGCAGCCGCACAACACAAGGTTTGCAGCCGCAGCGCTGCCGCAGATAGGACGCCCTAACTTTGATCATCTGTCTTATTTAAATAAATTTTATGAGATAATAAAATATAAATAGTATTTTACTCGTGACTTATGTTTTTAAATTTTTTTAAAAAAATTTAAATAAGACGAATGGTGAAAGTTGAACGCGAAAAACTATGGTTGCAATTAAAATGGGACGGAGTAAGTACGTAGCTACTACTGCTACAACAGTAAAAATAAACTTCAACTAATCACCTCGTCAAGCTCAATCATTCATCCACTAGTCAAGGCCATACCAACTCCATCATCTGCTGTCACGTTTGGTCGACGCATGTACAACATCGCAATCAACACTGACGGAATCAAGTGGCCTGTGGCCCCTTCTCCAAGCCAGCAACGGCACGGAGCAATCTCCTATCGCCGCGCACTCGCCGGCCGATTCCAACTTTGCTTACACAGCTTAACTAAAATCAGTCAAACACTCAAACCTCACACTAATCACCTGATAGATGAACTTAACAAATTCGCCATGTCCTTATAAAGACATACAGTTATACCCATCTTGTACACAAACCGTAAAACCGATCCAGACAACAACAGCATCATACTCACACAGTTCGCGGCAGCAATGGCGGGAAGAGGAGGAGGAGGAGGAGGAGGCGAGCTGCAGCTGCTGGGCACATGGTACAGCCCGTACGCTATGCGCGCGAAAATCGCGCTGGGGCTCAAGGGCCTGAGCTACGAGTACATCGAGCAGGACCTCTTCGGCAAGAGCGAGCTCCTGCTCAAGAGCAACCCGGTGCACAAGAAGGTCCCCGTCCTCATCCATGCCGGCCGGCCGGTGTGCGAGTCGCGCGTGGTTCTCGAGTACGTCGACGAGGCCTGGCCCGGGGCCGCGCCGCCGCTCCTCCCGGCCGACCCCCACGACCGCGCCACCGCTCGCTTCTGGGCGACCTACTTCGACAGCACGGTAATCGATGGCATCTTCCTGAAGAAATCAACCTTAGATAGATAGCAACGTTCATGTCGGTGATTGAGAAATCAATATTAGAGAGATCGACATTTTTGTTTTGATACTGTATTAAGTTCTTCCCGCCGTGGAGGGCGCTGATGAGGGCGACGACGGCGGAGCAGAGAGCGGAGGCCTTCATGAACGCCGTACCTCAGGTGGAGGTGCTGGAGCGAGCGTTCGTGGAGTGCTCCAAGGGGAAGGCGTTCTTCGGCGGCGACGCCGTCGGGCTCGTCGACGTCGTGGTCGGCGGCTTCGTGGTGTGGTTCAAGGTGGTGGACGAGGTGGCCGGCTCCAGCCTCCTCGACGAGGCCAAGTTCCCGGGCCTGGCGGCGTGGGCGGAGCGGTTCTTGGCGGTGGACGCCGTCCGGGAGGCGATGCCCGACGCCGGGAAGCTCCTGGAGCACTACAAGGGATTTCTGGCTAAATTGGCTTCGCCAGCTGGTTCTACCTAATGGCAATCTATCTGCCTTGCTCGCCTGCTTTGACGATGAAGAAGTTGTTTGGTACTGTGTCATGTGAAAATATTTTGTTAGTCTCTGTTGAGCGGTGTTCAGAATGCAAATGTGTACATCTTGAATAAAAGGAGAGCAAAATAGTGAGGCGACTTTTAGTGTGTACAAGTATAATTTTGCTCAATCAGCAGTGTGATCACAAGGGTACAGATATGAGGGGGCATAGATGAGGTGCACGATTTTTTTTTTAAAAAAAAGACGAATCGACTCGAGTCGATTGCTTCAAGTTTTTTTTTTCGCAAATTGCTCTTCATCAATCACAAATTATTTATCAACATCGCAAATCACAGAAAGTGAATCACAAATTTTTGGCACAAATGCATTACTACTCAAATCAGAATCCATCTAATATCCAAGTATTACCTATCCATTTCAGCATCAAAGGAGAAAACAACATCAACAAGGGAGATCGGAAAAACCAACAAATCATTACCGAATCCATAAAAAATCAACTTGCCAAGGGTATGGGGGAGGGAGCCACCGATTCTGCTAGTGGTCACCTCCGTAGTCGTGGTCCCATCCGTGCCGCCACTCGCTATAGGTGAAGTCTGCCCGCTCGCTCACTGACATCGAGTGACCCACTTGCGCGTGGATCTAGCCATCCCCAAGTTCTCGGTGATCGAATCTAGCGCCGAGCTCACAGGAACCAGCAACCCATGGTGATAAGGAGGCCAAGGGAGCGAGGGAGGCGTGGGGACATCAAGGAGGCCACAATTGCTCGACAGGGAGATGGAAGTGCGGCACAGCTAGGCTAGGGGAAAGGGAGGGGGCTGCTCCTGAGCTCGCGGCAGTTAAGAGAGAGAATGAGGCGGAGGGGGAGATTCCGAGGCATAAAAACTAGTGCCAGGCTTGGTTCGTTGGTTCAACTCCCTCGAATGTGTTAGTTTTTCTTTTAAGGAAAAGGCAATGATATCACACGTATAAATGTCTTCTTTTAAAAAATGGCATTTACAAGTGTTGTTGGTGCAGGTTTTTAATTTTAGACCCATATAAGGGATCAATAGGACGTGAAAAACCCCATATGTGCTGATTTTAGATGAACCGATGGCACATATGAGGATATCATATTAGGATTTTTAAGTAGTGGATCAATTTAGTTACTATGCATTTGGTTCAAAGGTTGGGATGGGTCAGATTGGGTTGAACCTATTTTTTAGACTGTTTAGGTTAGGGACATGTGGGATGGGATGATCCCTAACAGAGAATATTCCCCTAAGGTTGATCTGGTACCTAAAAACTAATGGATCAATCCCACCCATTTTTTCTCTCTCACAGACATGTGGATCGTTCCTTAAAAAGTAGGATAATCTCATCCCTCATGCCAAACGAATAGATGAGACCGTCAGAACAAGGATGAGTCTAACCTATTCCATCTTATCTCCAAACCAACACATGCTAGAATACAACGTTCGGAGTAGAAAACTAAAAATTAATTGGGCCAGTTGGGCCATTGGCCATTCCTATCTAGACGTGGCCATTTCTCAACATGATTTGTTACGGACTATACCTTGATGTATGACTACCTTCACAAGGATTTAAATCATGGTTCTCACAAATATTACGTAAAATAGATGTGAGTAGCTCTGGTTTCTAATTTTAGGCCAATCGAATTTTGTTGGCCATCGGACCATGGATCTTCGTAATGGACCTCCTTTCTCGTTAGCGAAGCCATTTTGCTTCTCTATCAATTATCAAAGTGTTAACACGGTAACACCTCGCTCAAGTTGCTAGTTGCTGATCGCTATCAGCTTTTCTCTGAAGCTAGTGCAAGTGTGCAACCCTACTTTTGTTGCAGCTGGAAAAGAAAAGATAGGACCCCTGAACTAACCACCCTGTGACACACTGACACTGCCTTAAAGCAAAGCGCCGGGGGCCGGCCAAGTGGAGCGCCTAGTAGCGTGGCAGCCAGTCGTCACGCGGTCCTGCAAATAGTAACCGCACTTGTGCCGTTCTGAAAGGTGACTGCGTTTTGACCGGATATCTATAACCGATCGATCCACTGCAGGCAGGAAAATACCAAACTCCAAATTGTTCGGCATAAACAAGCCAAACCTAATTAAACAAGTGACATACACATACCCATGGTCGTATTAATAAACCAGATTCTTCAAAATGAGACTACTTTGAGAAAAGATATCCAGGTCTATTCTCACTTAAGTGAGGCTTTCGGTTGCTCAATTAAAAAGAGACCGATATCCCATTCTATCTCTGACCAGTGTTGTTAAGATCAGTTTAAAAAAGTTTTTAAAGAAAAAAAAAACTTGCGTGGAGGCGTTTGTCGTTCAAACGTGGAGGAGTATTGGCAACCGAGGCGAGAAGCACTCCCTCCTCTCGTCTCCACCTCCCACGCCTCGTCCCAACTCACAACCCAATCGAATCTCCCCACGACGAAGGCAGAGGGAAGGGAGCGCGAGGTGGTAGTAGACTGGCAGAGAGGGCAGGGCAAAGGCATGGACGCAGCCGGCTCGCCGCGGAGGAAGAAGAAGGCGGCGGCGGCGAAGAAGCGGCGGGGGGGAGGGGACGAGCGGGAGCGCGGGCGCGGGCGCGGGCGCGACCTGTCTCCGGCGGCGCCACCCGTGGGCGCCGGTGGAGGGAAGGACGCGGCGCTCGCGGAGTGCGCGGCGGCGTGCTGCGTGCTGTGCGCGTGCCTGCCCCTGGCGGCGCTCTGCTGCGTGGCGCGCGCGCCCGTCCGCGTCGCGCGGCGGTGCTGGCGGTGGCGGTGGAGGAGGCGGAGGCCGCAGCGGCGCCTCGCGCCCGGGGGGTCGTCGTCGTTCTCCGACGCCGAGCTCGGTGACTTCCGGCCCGGACGGCCCAGGCGCGCAATGGCGGACCAGGAGTTCCGGCCACGGGGGACGTCTCCAACTCCAAGCGGCAGCCGCCGATCCCCGTCGCCGGCGCCACCGCATCCGCAGCAGCAGCAACCACCCCCTCATGATCGGAGAAGATAGTGCAAGTTAGTTAGCATTTTTATTTCTCCCATCATTTCGCACCAATTTTGCTGCAACTATCACCAGATCGTCCACCAAGTGGATCGATCTTTGGTTAGTGCCTAAGCTCATGATTAGGAGAAAAAAAAGAAGATGATTTTTTGCCAAGGAAGAGGGCCACCCCCAATGTATCACACCCCAATCAAACAAGGCCAGGTTGCTAATCAATGCACATCCGATTGTCATCATTTTCCTCTGGTTCCAGATTGTTCGATCGTTGCACACGCGCGCGCGCGCGCACACAAGCGGATCGTACGAGACGATAGCACTGCATTATCGGCTGCTTCTTCCATCATAACTGATCCCCAATATTTCGCTGGATGTAACTGTTCCGTAAGAACAGTGGATCACTGGTTTTCTTTCTCTCTCTTGATTACAGGCTGGAAATTGGAAAACAGCGGGTTAAACTGCTTACCGTTCAGAGTAATCCGTTGCTAGTCAAACATACGTGCACTTTGGGCAGTTGCGAACATGGTGAGCTTTTAATTCGTTTTTAATCAAAGACCAATGAATAATTAAATCATGGGGAGCAGACAAGCCGAACAGTGAAATAGTTTCCTACCGCCGCCCCTACCTGAATGATCATGAGTATCGAGGGAAAAAAATCAGGGTGCCGAAAGATGCGATGCCCCCCTTCTTCAGGAATCAATATCAGGAGGAATATGTCTGGCACGGTTCGAGTTTGCATGATTTGAGAGTTTTGAACGGTTGCAAAGGAGAATGTCCTTTGCAAAAAAAATGCTCGAACCTGGAATATGATGGCAACCGAACCGATGGTTGGCACAGCGGTACTAAGGCTTTCAGCGCAAAGTTTGGATTTTGATTAAAATTGAAAATGATATGATTGAAAAGTTATGTGTGCATGACAGGTTAATGTGATGGAAAAGAACTGAAGTTTGAAGTTTGGATCCAAATTTTAAATCTAAACACAGCCTAACACATGGTGTTTGACTTGTCGTGAGCAACCGGGCAGCCGGCGCGACCCGACCCTGACAGACAGGTAAGCGACGTGAGATCAGGCTCAGCAGCGAACCAGCACCACGGATGTGAGATCACGTGAGGATGATCCGAGGCCGCTGCCCGCGGGCGCGCCGGCCAAACCACCCCAACCAGGCACAGGCAGAGGATGGGCGAAGCAGCGAACGCTGCGGAATCACGGCAGGGCGGGGACGCAGTCACGCAGCCGCACGCGGTAGCTGTCGGCTCGGTGACTCTACGGTGCGCGCGGGCGGCAACGAGGCGGCCGCGTGCCAACCCCCCACAATGCACTCGTTGCACCTCCGCCCGTGCGTGCGTGCGAGATTCTTTTGTTCGTTACGGGTGGACGAGGGAGACCGGCGGCGGAAGGGCATGCCTTCTCCGCGCCGTTGGAAAAGCGGCACGGGCACGGGCGATGGCTCACGTCACGTGCGTCGTGAGGGATCTTTTCGTTGCCGCGAGCCCGCGACCGGCGCAATGGAGGGTCGCGTCGCCCCGGGCATATGCGCTGGTTTTGTTGCGAACAAGCAACTACTACTACCAGGTATACCACTATAGTTATCAGGCTTGCCGCCACCGCCCGCCGCGACCAAGACTGCCACTTCCAGATGCTCGGCTCCATCCTATACCAGATTGCAGTGGAACCAGCACAGGAGAATATGGTACGTGGGAGCTATATATACGGTGGTTGTACTGTAAAATCTTCAGCGATATCACGTGTAATCAAGAACAGAAAGACACACGAGCGGTAGGGAAGGCGATGCCCCCGAACCTGAAGAATGCGAGCGCGACGTCGGAGGCGGCGGCAGCGGCTTCCCGTCATCCCATGGCTGAGTGGCTCCACCGCTTCCTCCACGGGAGGCAATGGGAAGTGGGCTTCGGCTCGAATGAGAAAAAGGGAACTCTCCAGGAGACATCTCTCATTATCTACATATCACTCAAAGTAATGGTCATGAAAAAAAAGGATAGGTTAATACGTAGTAAATCAATCAAAAATATACAAGGTAAAATTTAACTTTTATGTATTACAATGAAAAAAACAAATTTTACGGTGAATATTTGTAGTTTAATTTTTTTTCAACTTGTAAAAGTAAAATTTTAACTTACATATTTGTGGAGGAGTGATATATCATATATTAATAGATCTTCTCAAAATTTTCCATTCCATAACTATTTGAGTTTACACGCAAACAACGAGGGAACGTCATTTCAAGAGAAAGCCATGATTATTTCGTTGGTGGATTGCTAACGGTGATAGCAATAGCAACCAGGTTATTTTAAAGTTTTGTGGCCTACAGAATAAGACCAACGACATATTTACAAACGAAAAATAATACGTGAATAAAACTTTTATATACGTGTTCTTAGTGATCTAAAAGCAAATGCTGAAAAATAAACTTTGATAAAGAAACTTTAAAATCACCTTCAAATTTTAAGGTTGAAAATTCAAATTTTGGATGATAAGGATAAGTGTAAGCGAAAAGATGAGGCGCTTCTTCTCCCTTCATCTCAAAATATAAGACGAATAACCTTTTCACAATGTCTCATAACATATGGTATATACACGTATAATTAACTAGCACATCCCTCTACTGTAAATTTGTTTTTTTAATCCTTTAGTACCTTTGATACCATTAGGTGATTTTTTTTTTAAATCCTTCACTCTTAATATTTCTAATACCATTGGGTGCTTGAGCCTTGAGGTGACCAAAGCGAAGAAATGATAATAATTCTCTTATGGTATTTGTGTTTAGAGCTTTATATTTTGAGATTGAGAAAATATTTGGATTTGCCACAAGTTTACCGTGCAAATAATGTACTATCGTACTATAAATCATGTAGAGAATCAACGTGACTTGCACAAATGCAACTTATTTCATCATCCGTTAACAAGTTCAATGAGATAAACGTGTCCGAATGTAAGTGGTCAATCTTACATAATCGACGAGATAGGATAGTGTACTCCGTTTCATTTCATAAATCATTTTGACTTTTTTCTAATAAAAATTTTTAAAGTTTGATTGAGTTTATAGATAAAGTAGCATTTCCAACACAGAACAAACATATTACCAATGTATATTCATTGAATCTAATTTAGTGTTCTCAATGTTACTAAATTTATCTATAAATTTAATAAAACTTAAAATGCTAAACTAAAAAAGTCAAAATAACTTATAATATTAAAGTAGTACATGATACGACCTACGCGCAAATCGCATGCAAATTTTGAAGTCACGGGGCAGGCCTATCTGATCACGTGAGTGGGAAGCTGTAGCTGCAAATATAACACAATAACGGCCCAAACCTCCTGTGTGGCAAACTGTGTCGACCCGAAATAAATCAGAAACAAAACTTGACAACGCCACAGAAGGAATACAGGAGTGATGACACTCCAAATGGTCTATTGTACATGTGGTTAAAAGAACAGAAAAATCATACGCATTAGATTGCACTATGACCTGGACCTACAACAATAAATAGGTCTGCTTCATCTTTAACCCTTACAGATAAAAACATGACTTCTAAAATTGTACAATTGATGAAGTCAGAGGAAATATGGGACAGCAGTCCTCGGTCCTCGCATCTGGTTATTCTCCTCTGTCTCTGTGAAGAATTTGACCTCTCTTTCCTGATGTTTTAGACAAAGGATATAAAAGATCAGAATCAGCTGCGAGCCTTAGAGCTCATGAAACAAATCAGATACTTCACAGCAGTATTTGCAAAAGAAGACATGTTAACATATTCAGATCAACTAATGCAAGAGTCAGACCACAGATAAGATAACAATTTCACACTAGTAGCAAGAAATCTTCCAGTACTTGTAGATGAGCTAAGTTCAATTGGAACTTCTATTCCCTGAGGAATGGTTTATTGAGGTGGCCACAGTTACACAACTAGAAACGAATATGCTAGTTGCTCTTGAGTCCAACTTAAGTTTCCCCCAATCAGTAGTCAAACCAAAGTGCTGTGTATCGTTAATTCATTGCTGAGTAGATTATAGATAGCATGGGGTGGCATTTGTTATTGTTGAGCACACAAAAGCAGTTGGGTGCCTAGCGCTGTTTCATCTCTGTATTGTGTGTGCACAAGTGCACTAGCAAATCCTAGTACTCCTATATGAAGTTTGATGCAATTACATAATGCTTCCACCACAGGTGCACAACATACCATTGTCTCACTGAAGCTTAGTATAGAAGCAACATTTCCACATCTGTAGCAATAATTAGGAGCGGACCACACCTGGAAAAAAGGTATTGCAGGGTATGTGAGCATCAATATAACAGTATTGAAAAAAGAAATACAAGCTTAGTACAATGCTATGATTATCTGGACTGACATGTGAACAGAAACTTACAGTTACAAGGCCTTTGTCCTGAAACATGTACTTTAAGCCTTCCTGAACCAGCTGGTGAGCTCGGCAAACTAGATCGAGATTGTTAATATGGTTGAACTGCAAAAGGTAGATGAAAAACATTTACAAGGAAACAATTAATAGATGATCCAGAATGTAGTGACTGTACACACTCTCTGAAAAATAGAGTAAGAAATCATCAAATGACTGTACATACCTCAGCTGTCACTCGTGATCCAAAAAGCCAACCAGCTCCACGAGGGCTAACAGCCCATGTCTCTATTTCTTCAGGGTCACTCCACATTAGATCACAGAAAGGACCTTCATGAGGAATTTCACAATTGCGATCAATCGTCCGAATCTGGTCAATAGAATTAACAAGGATATTCAATCACATGATTAATTTCATTGTAATATTGCGTTGAGACGGTTTTTAATTCTTATCTGACAACAATATATCTTAAGATAAAACAAATCACAGAATCATGTCTTACTAAAAAATTGTGAACATGCAAAGCTATGAACCAACTAATTTCTAATAGTACACAGTCAGATATAAAGTATATATTTTAACGACAAAGAAAAGTATACCACAACTAAGTTAGCGAACAACCATTTATTTTTTCTTTAAAGGATGGGTCAGAGATATATGTGTCACTGAAAATAGCATACACTATTTCAACAAATTATCTAAAATGGCAACACCCAGTTGTTTACCCCTTCAAAAGGTTCAACGGATATCACCTGATCAACTGAGGATATTCATACTTAAAAGGCAGAATTATCTAATTCTTTTGAACTTAGTGCCAGACCTACTAATTGTTGCATCGACAAGGTGTAGTACAGTAACTCAAAATAATAATGTTAGTATTACAATTAATTAGAGTTTGATAAACAACACTTAGACTTAATGATGCTTATGAAACTTCAAGAAAAAAAGTTCAGCAAACCTGATCAACAGTGCGCACATCAGGAGAAAGTCCACCATGAACACAAAGAACCTGGATTTTTAGCATATGGTTTGATGATTATTTGGCACAAAAATTATAAACCGACAACTTACAAAATGTCCAAACAAACTTACCGTGCCATTAATGATTGCTGAAAGAGTAAGGTAGTCAAAAACATCGGTGCAATACCGCCATGCATTCGCATTCCCATACTTCCTTTGGCACTCATCGTAGAAACCATACACCTAAAATTAGAAAAATACTATGTGTTACTGCATCATAAGCACCAAATACATGTGTAGTGCAGATATATGAGCACAAAGTCTGTCAGGAGGATGAACTGTACAAATAAAGGAAACGTAAGGAACCATGTAAAAAACATATTCCAACTCATTAAACAAAATCTAAGGATGACAACACAGGTTGCTCATCATATGGTGCTGATTAGGAACTAAAGATACACTAGTATGCAACATGTGCGTGTATTTCATTCCAATGTGCATACACTGAAACGAACATGAAACCAAGGGAAAATCATAGATATAATGACCGGATTATTTGACATTGCTCAGGCAGAAAAGCAATACGAGTTAATACATCTCCAGAATCAGAATTGTATGTAATGGAGCTATGCATATTTATGTCCAACGCATGATACCCTCATAGATAATTAATACAAAACCTACAAATGTTTGATATGAGCATACATGCATGTACAGGCCAACAAACAACTAAAACAGGACCTCTTGGATGCAACAGTTGAGATACAACATATAAATCATCAGAGCAGTTGAGATACAACACTTAAAAGTGCAACATAAGTATCTCAAATCTCAAGAAAAGAAATAAATTGGATAATAAATGAAAACATTGTCCGCACCAGGAAATACCTGTGTCAACTGTCTGCTTTCATGATTTCCACGCAGAAGCGTTATGTGTGCAGGGTACCTAATCACAATCAGGAAACCCAATAGCAAGAATGAGCCACAGATAGTAACACTTGGGTACAAACTATAAATCAGAATCCTTGAGAAAATGAGTGCAACCAAGAACAAATGAAACTAGCAAGGACTAGGGAGTCTTACAGGAATTGTTCACTACTTAACAGTGCAACCATTCTACTCAAATTAGCAGTCCAAGTTGTGAAACAACAACAGGAATACCAATTTCAAAATTCAGCCAACTAGGCTCAATTGCACGAGCCACAATTAGATCACAGTGTGTCTCATCCTACAACTATTCAGCATTTCAGTTCAACTCCTGGGAGCTATTTGTATTATATAGAAGTATAGAACAACACATTGACCCCATACATTGCTCAAGGTTATCCAGGCAAAATAAGGGGAGAAGGCAGTAATGAAAAGACAACAGGATTTGGCATATAATCAAACGACAGGCAGGACCATACAACAACATGATTCACATCTAAGGAAGGTAAACTACTGCTGCAACCATTCACATATTTTTTCATGTAATGTCCCTGTAGAAAAAGGTAATATAACATCGAAGTACTGTAATACCAAACGGAACAGTGAAGCAGCTGCAGCTATGTGCCAGAAAGGTCAAAGCTTTCGAACAAACAAACAGAACATTCACGATCCCAAACAAAAAGGTAGGCAAATACCTCGCTTTTAGTAGCAACAGAATGGTGAAGACCTCCAGACTGTTGAAGCCGCGGTCTACAAAATCACCCTGCACGTGAAGCACAGCTGAATTCAGGAACACAGCATCATCCAGAACCATCTCAACCAACAAGCTCACACACACAGAAACACATAAACACAAAATGCTCCAGAAGCCACACCATGAAAATATAATTCGTCTCGGGCACATGCCCCCCAGTCGCGAAGAGCTTCATCAGGTCATGGAACTGCCCATGGATGTCTCCGCACACGGTCACCGGGCTGTTCACTGGCTGCACGTTGGACTCCTCGATGAGGATCTCCTTCACCTGGAAGGATCAGCGGAAAATCAGCCGCGGTTACACGCGACCCCATATACATAACAAAACTCAAGTTCAGTACGGAAAGCAAAAGGCAACGGTTTCCCCCCACGTCCACCCCCTACCAACGAACCCTAGCAACCGCACGCGCGCCGCCGCCGCCGCCGCCGCGCGAGAGCACGGGGCATGGCAAAAACCCTAATAACCGAACCAATCGGGGGACAGGGCGGGGGGGAGGAAAGCTCACGTATTCGCAGAGGGACTGGAGCTCGTGCTCGGCGAGGTGCTGGCCCTCCTTCACCTTAGAGATCCACAGATCCAAATCCATCGGGAGGGGCTCGCGGGGGCGGGGGGGGATGGCGGCGCGCCCGGGGGTGGGGTGGGGAGGCAAAGGGGATTTTAGGGCGCGGATTCGAGAAGGGGCGGGGGCTAGGGTAGCGAAGCCGCGGCGGATCCCCCCTCGGATTCCGGTGTTGGTTTCGCCGCCGTCTCGATCGCGGCGGGGGGGAGGGGAGGAGGGACGAAGAGGGAAGGGAGGGAGGGGAAGAGAGAGGAGGAAATAATACTAAGGTTGTGATTTGCGCCGGGCTTTGGGCGCTGGAGCAGGAAGAAATCTCGAGTGCCTTGGCTTGGCTGGCTGGCTGGCTCGCTGCCTCACACACGGCCTCGCGACCACACGGGAGACGGGACGGCGTTTAGGGTGGACGTGCGGCTCTGATTGATGCAGAACCTGACTCTTTTGTCTTTTTATTTTGAGATTTTGAATTCGATTAGGATGTAGGCACTGTTTAGATCCTGTAAAACTTTACACTCTATCACGTCTAATGTTTTTTTTAAGATAGAGGTTTTATTAAACTTCAGAATAAGGATTACAATTCTTAGCAAGTTGCTTAGCAACACACACCGGCGCCTGCAGGCGCAAAACCACTGCCTCCCTATTCCGAATAGCTAGCTGAGCAAGCTCATGAGCCACCTTATTAGCACCCCTGCGAATCAGAGCCGTGCGAGCTTCAGGAGCAGCACGCAGACCCGCTCTCGCTTCAAGAGCAGCACGCAGTCACGTCTAATGTTTGTACACATGTACTCCCTCCATCCCATAATATAAGGGATTTTGAGTTTTTACTTGCACTGTTTGATCACTCGTCTTATTCAAAAATTTTGTGCAAATATAAAACCCGAAAAGTTGTACTTAAAGTACTCTGGATAATAAAGTAAGTCACAAAAAATATAAATAATAATTTCAAATTTTTTTGAATATGACTAGCGGTCAAACAGTACAAATAAAAACTCAAAATCCCTTATATTATGGGACGGAGGGAGTATGAAGTATTAAATATAGGCTAAAAAATAATTAAGTGCACAGATTGCGACTAATTTGCGAGACGAATCTTTTAAGCCTAATTAGTACATGATTTGACAATGTGGTGCTACAGTAAATATTTGCTAATGACGGATTAATTAGGTTTAATAAATTCATCTCGTGGTTTACTAACGGATTATGTAATTAGTTCTTTTATTAGTCTATATTTAATACTTTAAATGTGTACCGGCATATCCGATGTGACACACCAAAACTTTACACCCCTAAATCTAAACACAACCGTATTTACGTCCTTTCAGGCTCGTTATGAAACCTCAAATGGAAACAGGGGCTACTGAGACTCTTGTAATCACTAGGGGCTATATCCTTTTTCGCATCTTAGTAATGCCTTTATTCACATGGAAAAAAAATCTAGCGTTCAAAGGGGTAACTGGGCCCCATGTTATTTTTAACTACTCCAGTAGATTATTATCGTAAATTAGTTGCTCGACATCTTTCTGAGGCTTTTATAACCACTAGGCTACAGGCCCTTTGGCGTCCGAGTAGTGGCTTTATTCACATGGAACAGAAAAATTTAGCGATCAAAGGGGTAACTGGCCCTCGTATTATTTTTAACTACTCAAGTAGATTATTATCGTAAATTATTTGCTCGACGTCTTTTTAAAGAAAGAATTTTTTTCAGAAACACAATACAACGACGCCTCACTACCGAAAGTCACTACGAACGCCTCACTATCAACAGGTACACCGTCTATCACTGAAATAATAATTAGCTGTAAATACAAACACATGTGTCAACTTTATAACTTGAACGGGGTGATCTGGTTCTACCACAAGCAACCTAGTCAGTTGATCTAAACTCACTTTGCTTTAAAGTCCGAACTTTCTTCCAATCCCTTGTTATGAGCTATCTGTGAAGTTTATTTATTAAAATATTTAATTTATATCTATAACCATGTAAGATAAAATAATCTTGTCAATAGTCTGTTTTAAACCGGTCCATTCATAACATCTTTGTCCTAAGAAAAGAAATAGGAAACATTTTAAAAAAAGAAGAGCAGCAAGAAATTGTCAACGGACGACGATGCAGTACTAACACCTCACCAGACTACTTGTGTGTAGCAACCTGCATCTCACCTCATCAGCATAATTCTGATGTCACTGATTTATACTACCTTAGATAACCGTTTTTTAAATAGATGACGCTGTTGACCTTTTCTTACATGTTTAACCATTCGTCTTATTTAAAAATTTTATGTAGATGTATAAGATATAAATCACACTTAAAATACTATGAGTGATAAAATAACTCATAGCAAAATAAATTATAATTACATAAATTTTTTGAATAAGACGAATGGTCAAACATGTGAGAAAAAGTCAACGGCGTCATCTATTAAAAAACGGAGGGAGTATATAAATTGATGTTCTGTAAAAAAAAAAGGATATGATGCGTTCACGTCCGGAAAATAACTAGATGTCATATAAGCCTTACAGAAGTATTTGCATCAACAGTATTTACATCTTCAGGACCAAGGCAAATGCCAAGTTTTTTCTCATTAGCAAACACAAGGGCGTGCGACCAAATAAGTGCTTATTGCCGTTGGATGTTGATGCAAATATCTCGGCAAGTTAACAAAAATGCTGGTCGATGCGCTAATGGGAACCTCCCCCACTCCACGTTAATCATTGGAATTCCTTAACCATAACTCGTATTCAGTATTTTTGCAGATGAGATAGGCAAAGGAAGGAAACAACGCCGGTTATCAAGATCATTGATAACGCTTCTTAAACAGGTAATGCCTCTTTGAAGGGTCCTTCGGTTTCTTGGAAGCTCCAGCCTTCCCCTTACCAGTGCTGGATGAAAAGAGCTCACAAGTTAGAATTGAGTAAATAGAATAATGAAATCAAATAATTGACGTAAAAACGAAATATAAGCGGAAAGAAGAAGCACCTGTACTCCATGTAGACCATTCCCCCCGATCCAGAAAAGGCACTCATTGATCCAGCAGATCGCCGTGCTTTCATAAGAGCCTTGCCATCAGAATCCTCTTCCAAGTGCTCAATGCCAATCATGTCATCCCTTGCACTCAGCAACTGGTTTAAGTGGCGAAGTGAGTTTACAAGCAAGCTTGCACAATTAGAAATAAAGAAGTAGCAGCTTACAAACAACAGGTACAGAAAACACCTACTTGTGCCAAAAGTTCAAGCTGATCATTAAGTGTGTAATATTTCAGGTTAGGTAATTCTTCAGGTGGCGGCAAGCTGGTGATCACCTGGTAAATGAAATGTTACAGTAGGAATCAAGCCAAACAATCGATTTTTTTCAACATATAGAAGCTCGCAAGTTTACCTTGAAGCTATATCCCTGGTCAATAAGAAATTGTTGCCTTTTAGTTGAGTAGTACATCTCCTGCATGAATAAAAAAAAAGTCATGGTCATATACAGTTTTGACTTTTGACAAATCGCCATTGTTGGTGGATTTCACAAACAAGAAAATTGATATGCCAAAAGAGACACAGTGGTGAGACTCACCTGAGTGTCAGTCGATACAAGAGAGTAGAAGAACGCATTGTATTCTTCTTTTCCACCAGCCATCCTGTCTTGATGCTTACCCTGATGTCACAGTAATTATCAAGATCCAATGACATTTCAATAGAAAGTATTATCTTAGAACATGACTGCAGCAGTTTGAGATCTAATGCTTCCATCATCTGATTGGACACGTGATTCCTTAGTCATAACTAGCATATAACATACTGCAACTAATTTTACACAAAACTATTCTTTCAGATTCCAGAGCTGTATTTACAACACGATAATAAATTATTACATATATAACTTGTATACTAAAATCAAATTAAATAGTTACAGATTCCAACAAGCTTTAAAAACATTTAAGCAAATGTGAGCATGCTTGATATCTTCAGCCAGAATTATATAAGAACAATATTAGTTTGATCCATCATGCATTTTATTTTTCTCACTAATCCTTATTATATAAAAAGCATTAACATTTTATGATGAATTTTAGATACAAAGAGAAGTATCATGGTAACATCATTCTGTTCCATGAACTAATCATCAGATTCAATCCATTTTACCTTTGCCCTGAGAATACGTCCCAACCGTTGAGCTTCTTGACGCCGTGAACCAGCATGAGATGAAATTTGTATGATCACATTTGCTTCTGGAATATCAATCGAGTTATCACCCACCTAAGTGACAGTAGATATGCAGTTAAGATGATGATGGTTGAATTTACAAAAGTATGTTTTGAATCAGAATATCAGTTACTGCACCTTTGAAAGGAAAATTGTATTCACATCTGAGCTGTTCTTGAATTGATGCAGAATTCTCGTCCTCTCAACATGGCTGAATGTTTTCAAGCAGATATAAGCATATAACTAATGGAACACAAACATCTGTATAAAATGAGAATCACCTTGTGGAACCATAAATCATTGGTTTACGGAGCTTCATTGCGTAGCTAGTTAGTGCAAATAGATTATCGGCAAACACAATTATCTTGTCCCCACGTTGTTGCTCATGGAATCGAATTAGAAACTCGCAAGCTCTGAATTTGTTTGGGTTCATCGCATAGAGGACCTGATAGGCCAGGGTTAGTGCAATCCTCGAAGATGACAAGATTTGATAAACAAGCACATTGACCAATAAATTCATGTCTGGCATGTACAAAGCACAAGAAAACCAACATTTTAATGTAAGATGATTTGGTTTTCTCCTAAGTCAAACTTCTCCAAGTTTGATCAAGTTTATATATAGAAAAAATGTAATAAGATTCACAATGCCAAATTAATTTCATTAAATCCACAATTGAATATAATTTTATAATATTATTTGTTTGGTGTTGAAAATATAGCTACGTCTTTAGTTATTTATGAACTTAGTCAAACTTAAAGAAGTTTTGACTAATAACAATAGCAAAACATTTTACATTCTAAATGGAAGGAGTATCACAAAAAGCTATACTAGAAATTGGAACATGTGGACTTTATATTGCAAAAATAAAGACATGAATCTTAATATGGAAAAGGCATATCGAGGAACTTCAATAAAGATTCACCTGCTTCTTCTTTGAATTTTCTTTTTTCAAATACTCAGCAAAGAACTCTTTGGTCATGGGACACCAAACTTCGGCACACTGCACATTTGCAATAAATCCACCTTTCACTAAATCCAACCAGTTTGCTTCATACAGCTTTGGTCCAATAAGAAAATTTAAATCAGTGATGCGTTCATCCTCTCTCACAAGTGTAGCTGCAGTTACAGTAATCTGAGTTACTTAGAATACCTACATAAAAGTGAATGGTAAAATCATATGTAGGGATATAAATCGAAACTGACCAGTAAGACCAAGCTTGCAGTGAGATTTTGTAATGCTGATGACCTTTCTGAACATATGTGCAGGAACAACATGGACCTGCAAACACAAATAAAAAGAAGAACATGGACATGTGTGAAGACCTGAAATATTTAATATTAAACACCTCAAATATCACTAATGGATATCCCACCTCATCCATTAGGAGCAAGCCCCACTCCCTATTTCGAATTTCTTCAATTATCTTCTCAGAGTCTTCAGACCGTTTACCTCCAAATGCAACCATGTTATATGTAGTCACAACTACACCGGCCATTCCACGGAATTTCTCCTTGTTATCTGATGTAAAACGGCTGATATGTTCATCTTTTATAGTTGACCAAAGCTTGAACTGAAATGCCCATTGATCAACTGATACAGCATTTGTGGCCAAACATAGACAACTCTTCTTGATACGACATGCAGCAGATACACCAACCAAGGACTTGCCAGCACCACAAGGTAACACAATAATGCCTGACCTTGCTCTGCCTGTAAAATCATAAAAAAAATATTCAATGAGGAAAGAAGCATATAATCTGTTAAGTCCTTGTAAGTTAATGAAAATTTGAAGTGAAAAATAGCAAATGAAGGGAATAAATTGCTAATTAACGACACAAGCAAGAGGACTGCCACTAGCAATTTTAGTTTTCACTCTTGGTAAACACAGTTCCCCACCACATCCCTTTAGTTCCTACACTTCAAACAATACTGACAACATTTTTACTAGGATATTCTAATTTTCTTATTACTGTAACACTACGCGTTTGTTCTGTCATTAGATCTGGATGTGAATCAGTACGTGATTAGGTAAAACCGGCAAGGAAACAGCATACTTAAAGACTCAAAGTCATTTGAAAATTAACGTTCCCAAACTTCATATCGGTTTGCAGTTATTTACCAGTTGTTCAAATTTACAAATTCAATATTCATGTGCAAATTGCATAATAAAGTTACCATTCCCAAACATCTTGCTGAGGCTCTTTTCTTGATATGGCCTTGGGCGTGCCTGGGGCTTTAATTCCATCTCCAAATCTGGATTCACCTACAATTAAGACATCAGATTTTAATTCTGAATAATATAGCAAATATATGTACATGGTCATGCCCCTAAACAGCTGCATAACCACAAAATGGTAATACTGTAAGGTTCCTACTAACATAAGAAGTAAATATATTTTGATTCTTAAGAATACCACAGTTTTCAAGTGGAAATAGGGTCAACGATGTCGTATCTAGTTGTGCTGTGTTGGATATACAAGTTTTACCAAAAACGAAATGCTAAAAAACAGAAAATGCTCTAAGCAAAGCTTAATGAACTGTTTTTTCTCTTACTCTTATATATGGATTTAATTAAAAAAAAAGGCTTTGCACACTAATGAGAGTTTTTTTACAGTATACACTAATGAGAGCTGTCATGTAATGTACCAAAAATATTAATTGATTTTGACATGGAATTCATTTCTGAGGTATATATGCTCATTCTGCTGGGCTCCTAAAGATGTGTTCCGATGCTCCAGATTTCGAATCATTCTTTGATTTCAATATTGGACTACCCTTCTTTTAGAATAATATGTTTAGCTGCACTATATACATCAGAAAACATGTGTTAGTTGTTTTCAGCACCACCAAACTAAGCCTGAACATCTGTGATTCTGCAATCTAAAAGCTTACTTTTCATTATCCATATATATGAAGTTGGATCTTCTCTATTAATACATCGCTGTGCAATGTCTAGAGATAACAATACAGTAAATAAACACTTCTATTGCTTAGAAGTTTTTGTTTTGCTTATAGCATTTATGTTTGGTGTAGCAAAAAAAGAACTAGCCCCCATTGAATTGGTATGTACAATATCTTGTATAGCAGAAGTGGTGGTGGGAGAAATTCCATGGGTGCAAAGGTAAAAATTGTTTTTTAAAATTTTGACGAGGCAAAGTTGGGTCAGCCCCCATTGTGGTTTTCTCTGGTTCAATACAGACCAATTGCATGGACAATATGATTATACGGACTAAAAATTATGCATGTCTCTTGATATGCAAAGAACTTACTGTGTCGTTTCTAAAATCGTACTCCTCCAGCATGGGGAAGTTCAGTGCATTTGGCAAGCAACGCTGCTTCACATTCTCAACCTGCATGACATGAATTAAACATCAGTCTCCATCACCGAAAATTTTTCGTGAGATTCTAATTGAAGTAAATGCATGACCTGAGAAGGATCAATTTCAAAAGAATGTGTTTCCTTGTCTTCAGTTGCAGCAGCCAGTTCCATTCCATCTAATAAGTCCTCATGGCCACTAGCCATTTCACCAGCTGTTTTGCTAATAGTAAATGAAGGTGCCCCAACGGAATCCTGGATAAATTAGAATGGACTTAGGCCCTGTTTGTTTCAGCTTAAAATTATTGTAATCTAGATTATTAAATTGGATTACTCTAAGCTAGATTATAATAAGCTAACATAAAATAAGCTGCGAGTTGTTTGTTTCTCTAGATTATTGAAGGCATCTGAGGGTAGTGGGTCTTTAGCCACCCAATAATCTGGAAAAAGCTCCTCCAGAGGAGATTATTAGATTATAGTAATATGGCTTACAGATTATAATAATCTATCATAATAATCTACTTGTTTGTTTCAGCTTACTCCTAATAATCCAGATTATAATAATCCTAAGCTGAATCAAACAGGGCCTTAGATAACAACATAGAAATCAGCTTGCATTGATAGAAGTTACACGATGGTTTCACGCAGACAATGTAGTAACACCAGACAGACTAGAGCTCGCATAAGATAATGGGTAGGAAGGCACGACTTTGCTACTAGTATATTGCCATAAGAATTCTATTCAAGTGCACAAAACAGATGAATAACCTCAGGAGATATCCGTGCTCTGCAAATGATATCATCTTTCAGAAGCGTCTTCAAAACCTGGAGATGAGATATCGCAGCTCACATAAATAGAAAATAATAGACAAAAAAGAATATTTTTTAATCACGGAAGTATGGTATGACCTCAGGGAATGGAGACTCCACAAAATATCGATTCTTCTTCAGAACAAGCTTCACTTTACCATAATTGGCAGTTGATGCATGGATAAAATCAATTATTTCACGAGGCAGTTTAGTCTTGGAGAGCTTGCTCATGACACTGATTATAGTGCTAGTCTCAAGCCCAACTGAGACCGCAGCATATAGTGAGTGGGGTGTTAGATTGTACTCGTGCATGGATTCTGGCCTGCACCACCAAAGGTCAAAATCAAATAGTTTAACGGAAAATCAGAAACCCTTTGACAAAGTAATACATTTCAGGCACTCAACCATGCACATATACTCCCTCCATTTTTTAATAGATGACGCCGTTGACTTTTTCTCACATGTTTGACCATTCGTCTTATTCAAAAAATTTATGCAAATGTATGAGATATAAATCACACTTAAAGTACTATGAGTGATAAAACAACTCATAACAAAATAAATTATAATTACGTAAATTTTTTGAATAAGACGAATGGTCAAACATGTGAGAAAAAGTCAACGGCGTCATCTATTAAAAAACGGAGGTAGTATTTCAAAAGAAGTTCAAATAAAAAAGACGACCAATTTGATCATCTCGTCCATCGGAGTATAGGCATCATTTTGTTTTGCAGAAAGACTTCAGGTCAAACTCAGTCCCATCTTAACTTAAGAAAAAAAGGACTAATAATCTCCTTAACCCACCATCCCATCACTCAAACTAAAGAATCCTAGAAGGCTAGAATTTACTTTGACAGTAACAACGGAATGGTTATGCTCTCTTGAAGTCATGCTGGGGTCATCAACTTGGTTGCAACTTATATATGTCAGTATACTTTCTAGGTTCTAGATAGCCACATGGGGCATATTAAATCTATTCAAACAATCTAATGGCACAATGATATGCCTATCACATAGCTGTGCTCACCATTTTCAAGTAATACATGGTTAGTTCCATTACAAACCATTGGTTTTCCCCTCAAATTCCAAACAAATTAACCTATTCTAAACAAATTATATCCAAGTGGTTCACAGAAAATCAAATTGAGTAATCACATGGCAGTACCAAAGTCCCTAAAAGATAAAGTAGTGAAACCCTCAGAATATGATATGATCCCCACAGCTCTCAATGAAGATAATATCACTAAATTCAACTTCTGTTTCACTGCATGACAAAAACAAGCCTATTCCAACATGAATGCTGAAACCATGCTAATTTTGGGGGAAATCAACCACATAGATGGAACCCCATGAATGCTGCAGGAAATTTGCATACCAAAATGCTAAACATGAAATGTGAGGTGGTTTGTTTTGTAGCTAGGAGGTTTTGCTTTGTGCTTGAGCACAATCTGAACCTTTGATAAACCACAAAAAGGAAAAAAAAACTAAAAACAGTTGAGATGATGTGACTTCACAAGATAAGAGAGAATTAACAATAACTTAGTGGCTTCTAAGTGTATAAGATATTGAGATTTGGACTAAACTCCACTTGGTGGATGCAATTTCAGTCTCAGGAAAGTCCAAACCTACTATGCAATTAAGGTACTAAGGTTAATGTTGAGGCTAGAGGTGACTGAAGTTGACCTGCAAACAGGCTCCGCAATAGCGATCAAGAAATCGTAGGCTTGTTTGTATAGGGGCGAAAACGTCTCCAGGAAGATGCGGCCATCGGCGCAGGCCCAGAGCGGCCTGTTCGCGTGATCCGGCTTCAGCTCTAGCTTGGTGAAGTCCCTCTTCTTCACCTCCCTATCGGCTGCACCGAATCAAAGTTCCAACCCCCACAAAACAAAAATCCCCAATCAGTTCAATGTTCCGTGCAAACCCTCATACATTGGGGGAGGGGCGGTGAGTTTAGGGCGGATTCGAGCGCGCGGTGTTACCATCGCGGACGTCGTCATCGACGTCATCGGTGTAGTCCAGTTCGGCGGTCTCGTCAATCGACCTCGACGGCGCCGAGGACTTGTGCCGCTTCGGCGCGCGGGCGCGATCGCCTGCAGAGGGGAGAGGGGGGAACGGTGTAAGGGAGATGCGGTATATAGGACAGAACGGGGGGGCGCCGGTGCCGGGGATGGTGCCGCTTAGGGTTTGCTTCCTCACCGTCGCCGCCGGCCATGGCCGGAAGCCCTGGAGCGAGGAGCGAGGAGCGCGGCGGCGCGGTGGCGGCGGTAGCCGGAGAGGGGAGATGTTGGCGGCGCACGGGGCAGTTTCGTCTTCTCGTCGCCGCGACCCGCTCGGGCTGGGAAATGCTTTATCGATCGATCTGGGAATTCTGGAGTCCTCTATCTGTCTCTTAAATCTGACGAGTGGGCCCAGGGGCAAAATCGTCCGATGGGAAGACCGATCAAACGGTTCAGCCGGCCAGAGGCGTAAAGGGAACCGGACAAATTCCTCCGTCGTCTGGTAGCTTCTTCTCGCGGCTGCGCGATGGAGAGCTGGGTCCGCGCGGTGGTGGAGGCTATCCACTCATCTCGCGCCCAGGCCGTCATCTACCTCGCCGGCGGCGCCTCGCAGGTAACCCCCCTTCGCCTCGCCGCTGCCCCCCACTTGCGCGCCGCCGCGCCGTGATTCGCCGGCAGATTCGATCCGATATGGTAGTACTGTTTGGCGCCTAGACTAAAGCAAAGCGCGCATTCGCCGCAGGCGCTCGGGTGGCTGCTGTCCGTGCCCGGCGCGTCCGGCACCGTCCTCGAGGTCGTCGTGCCCTACTCCATGGCCTCCATGGCGCAGCTGCTCGGCAAGGTAATTCCTCGGCTCCCCCTCCGAGTAATCCCGAATTTGAACTTGTTTTGAACCCATCTTGTGAGCACGCTTTGAGCGCGTGAGCCAATTCGGTGGATTGTTCAGAAGCTGGTATCTTCTGTGCAGACATACTGTTGTACTGATAATGCTTCATTGTTCAGATGCCCTTGCAGTTCACCAGCAAGCAGGCCGCAGAGGACATGGCATTGGCCGCGTTCAACCGCGCCCTCAAGCTTTCTGGACCAGGTATGTGGGCCGTTCTACACAAGAGTTTGCAGTTCCCACTCAGCATCATCTATCCGTTACGCGAATTGAAGTAAATCGACGTGGATATGCTCAGGTCTACAAGTAATGGGTGTTGGCTTCACTGGGTCACTGGCTAGCTCACGTCCAAAACATGGTGAGCATAGGTATAACTAGCTCATTCGCCATGTGATCCTACTTCTTAGTACTAACATATAACATTGTCTACCCTGAAATTGTCAGATTAAGTTAGTGAAACATGGCATGCACATCAAATAGCAACATAGCATGATATTAATCATACAGAAGCAGACATGCCATTTATATGAACTACTTGCTGACATAAAATTAGTAGTTTTACATTTGTTGTTAAAGTCGGACATATGGGCTTTAAGACATGTTATACCACACCATATTCTCTGCTTTTGCAGAGATGTATTTAATTCCCATTTCTTCAATGCACGGTATAATATTTGTTAGCGATTTTGAATAGGTTCTATGTGTCAACACGAACACAAAATTGCCTCAGGACATCACATGTTACATTGTCAAAGGTACTTGTATTGCTATCCTTTGTTTTCAATCTTAACATAGAATTTCTTTTAAGAAAGTGCAAAAATGGTATGAGTTGGTCACATTATATGGTGTGCCTTATTACTAACACATTTTACCATATGCACATTTTTGGAAAGTGCAACAATAGAAATAAACATAACAACCTCATTACTTAGCTATGATGTATCACATTAACATGGTCTTTCTACCCAGGGTTTACGGAGCAGAGAGGAAGAAGATAAAGTTTCAAGCTACTTTCTGCTCAAGGTTTGTTATGTATAACTAGGTGTACTCACACTGTCACACATATTTATGTCATCACTGGCAACATGCACTTGAGTTGGACTTCATGATAACCTAGTACAATTGACCAAACCTTTCACTTGGTCATGATTCAGCTATACAATCAACCAATCCCGTCAGGATAGGCCAACCTTCTTGCTAATTGGTATTCTTCCAGTTAGTTCTCCGTTGTAAGAATATACTGTGTTGCAGGCAATTGCAGACGGCTGCAAAGTTCCTGCAACCATTCAGTCAGATGTTCAAGAACCTGAACTTCCAAAAGAAAGCGTGGAACAATTTGATGAAGACCAAGAACTCCAGCAAGTTATTGATGGGCAAGTCTGCATGAAAGTGTATCACTTTTCTGGTATACTTTGTCACTCGATGTTGCTATGTGTGCACACTTGAATATTTCATTTTCACTCTTAAATCATACTACATCCATCCCAAAATATAGCAGACAAGTAGTATCTCTTAATACTAGTTTGCAGCCGTCCTGGGTTTTTCTCTCTCTTAAATCTATTTCTTTTTTTCCTTGCAGATTCAATGGATAAAAACTTCAACAGGAAAATAATTCTACCTGGTTCATTCAATCCCCTGCATGATGGACACCTTAGGCTGTTAGAAGTTGCATCAAGGTGTGATTTTATCATGTGAAAACACTGAAGAGAATAGATCATAGCATTTTCACAACTGGATTTTTTTTCATGTTAAAAATTAGCGAGGAAGCAAGAATAGAAATGAACAAAGAAGTAATTTAATGAAAAGGCACTCTGTTAAACTGGAAATTACAAGTCACATAAAGATACATACTGTATGTCTGTATCAAGGACTAGATTGCCCCTCTCCATTTTGACGCTTCAATTATTTTAAAACTATAAGTGTGACGTTGGTTCCACGAGCTGCATGTGCATAAAAAGTGCACAACATGACATATAAAGCTTTTAGTCTGCTTGTTCTGACCTCAAGAGAGTAAGAACTAATATTTCCTCCCCACAAATCTGCTTCTTGTAGCATGTGTGATGATGGTCTTCCATGCTTTGAGATATCAGCAATCAATGCCGACAAACCTCCACTATCTATCGCAGAAATCAAGCGCCGGGTTGAGCAATTTAGAAAAGTAGGTATGACCCACTGCCATGAATGAAAGTCTCAATGTGATATGATACACCAATTAGATTGGTAACAGCGAACAGATGGGGTGTCTTTATAGATTTGAAATTCATGTTTCTGATTCAGTTTGTTTTTATAATCAATTGTATGAAATAATAATTGAAAAGCGACAACCTGAACAACTCCTTTTCTATTTACTGAAATCTGTCTTCAGCTAACCAATAATCCTTCACATATTTTGTGTTTTGGGGGGCTTGATGCTTGAGATAAGAATGTACTACCTTTCTGTAGGTAGGAAACTCCAATTGATCGATGGTTTTGTTCTTCTTTCTGATGCAGGGAAGAATGTGATAATATCTAACCAACCATACTTTTACAAGAAAGCGGAGCTATTTCCAGGCAGTGCATTTGTAATCGGTGCAGACACTGCAGCTAGGCTTGTTAATGTAAGAAGTTAGATGGAACTAAACACAATATTTCAAGCCAATTGCTGAATTCTGAAAGACAGTTTAACTGCTTTACTTGTTGCTCGTACTGAATGAAGTTTACTCGTTGCAGCCTAAGTATTATGGAGGTGATTACAATAGAATGCTAGAGATACTTCTCGAATGTAAAAACACAGGTACAACATTTCTTGTTGGTGGTCGAAATATTGAAGGAGTTTTCAAGGTATGCATTCACTGTAGTTTTCATCTTCTACACCCATTGGAAAATAAGGTCTGATCCTATACTTCTCTATTTATTTTGAAGGTCCTTGAAGATTTGGACATTCCAGTCGAGTTAAGGGAAATGTTTATCTCTATACCAGAGGAGAAGTTTCGCATGGATATTTCATCTACAGATATAAGAAAAAAACAAGGGCCTTGATGTATCAAACATGCTGTTCTTCTTATATACTCCCCCCGTCACCCCGTCCTAAAATATAGCAACATGTCTAATCGATTACTAAGTTGCTATATTTTGGAACAGGGGGAATAGTAGATTCAAAATAAAAAAATTGGTGGTTCAAATTATTGGATGAACTTCGTGAACCGTCATGGCAGTGTGTCATGCCATAGGTTTTGGCCCTACGAATAACAACTTCTTTTCTGTATCTTAGTAAAACAACAGTGGTTGGAGATGTAAAAAACCTACTTCCCTGTTTATCTTTCTCTTTTCTTGGATGATTAGGCAATTATGCCCAGTTGTCCTTTATACTATTCTTTTTTTGTTTGGATGCTTTTCACATGTACCTGTACAGGCTCCACAATGTCACATTATCAGTTGAAAAAAGGACACCGCTGAATTCTTGATAGTGACATACTCACATGCTTTGTCAATTCAAGTATCAGTTCTTTTCATATTGATTTCTTAGTTGATGAAAGTATACATATTTCTTGCCATCAATTCTTTTAGTAGGTACATTTGGACACTAGTGGTCAGGGTTGAACTCTTAACTGGAGTCTCATCTGATTTGCTTATCTGAGACTGGGTTTGTGCAAATCCTGTCATGAGGCAAGGTGGACTGTCAGTCCATGACACTTTGCTACTTCTATTAAGTTCTCGAAATCTTTTCCAGTGTATGTCCGTTCTCTTTCAAATGAATTATTTATATGTTCTGACAGCCTCGCGGTGTACATTTCATTTAACTTTTGTCTTCACAGGGCCTCTTGGTATTTTGTTGAGCAGATTGGAATCAACCTTCTTGTAGAACTTCTTGATGTCGTCGCTACCCTTTGCAACTAGATGGTCAACTTCTGTCTTATATCTTTGGTACAACACTGGCAAAGTGTGCGCGCACAAGAATCCTGTGAAGTAAGAAATACAAACTTGTCATTGTGAAAGTTTAGCTTTATATGATCTTGACTCTAAATTGTTTCTCCTCAGATCCTTCTGTGTGATTGTTTTATTAAAATTTAATATTTATCTGGAATACCTACCAATATATAGTAGACTTGTCAAGCTGCAAGAACTTCCAATCGCCGACAATACCAATAGAGATCCAACCACCTTAATATCATAAACAATCTGATTGTTAGTCCAGAACTATATTGAGTAGTGAACAACAATAGCACATTAACATTATGAGGATTATTGGCTAACTCTGCAATTCAATATTCTGATGCGTCTAATCTGGTCAATTTTAGCGCTCCAGAAAGAATTGCACAATCCTTGGACAATGTTGGCACTGGAACTGTTGCATGTTTTTACATCTCTTATTAACGTAGCAAAGGAGTAGATTATTATGTACCAGGAGAAATCTCTTCAGATCCTTTCCACATGCAATGTCGTAAAGAACAGATACAGTGTACGTTAGTTTGTAATGGACGGTCAATGCCATTTCTCTGAAGGCATGTTCAGAGATGATGATTTCTGGGATCCTTGGAGGGGCCCTGAAATTCGGAAACAGTTAGTTGAGTTTTAGTACCTAATGTCTTGCGTTATACTACGTGAAATGCCATTTCTGTAAGCTGAGTTTTCTACCATCTCCACAGGAAATAAAGCTAATACCTGTCCAAGAGTGGTGCGGCATTTGACCAAATGAAGATCACAAGCATGGCAAGAATGGCAATCTGGCAAAGGAGCGGAATTATATTGTATTCTACTACATCGAACAGGAACCATATCAATGTTGCCCCAGCAAGGACCCCCGCAGATAAGTTCCTGTTCTTCCACAGCAGAATATCCGCAACTGCATAGCTCCCAACAATGAAATCCAAAACCACATCGGCTCAGAGAGAAGTTATGATAAAAGGCACTAATTCTGAATAATTTCCTAGAAAGCGAATAATAATAGCACACCTTGACCTCCACCAAGAAGCTTGTGGATCGACTTGTGCCCATGAAATGGCATTCTGACATTCTGGTCACTGTCAGAATCTCTCGGAAAATGAGGAGGCATAGCTTCGTGTGTGTATGTGTGTGGGATATTACGCTGCTAAAACTTTGTGTTTCTGATCGATCTGGTTAGAGAGCATCGTCTTTATAAGCACTTAAAAATGGTAGTATAATCTCTCAAGGAGCCTATACTGCCAAGGAAAGGATAGCTTGGCCTGTGGGGATTGAGCCGTTGAAGGGAACAAACGAATACAGTTACCTTACCAGATGTTTGCCACGACATGGGCAACGTCATTGCTAGACCAAGAAGGCAAGAAGCAAAGTTTAGCTGTCAAAAAAGATATGCTAGAGGCTTTCCAGAATATGTTCTATCTCAGCCAGACCAATGGGGGCAAAATTTACTACTATTTGCCATACATTAACCACGTAAAAGTCCTACACTCAACCTAACTGTTGAACGGTCCTGTTCTGGCCAACGGTGAGAATGCACCTAATGGACGGGACAACACTTCTTTCACCGTGCTACTGCTACATCCTGTAGACGGTGGACGCGTGAGGTGCTTTCGCCATGACCGTCCTTGGTTGTTGCAGTCACTTGCGCACGCTTGCACCGTGACTCACCTGCCACATTGCCCCCGCCGTCGCCGGCGCCTACAAAAGCCACACACGCACGCCGGCCACGATAACCCATCCTAGCATCCCGGTGTCCAGCAAGAGATCCATCAAGCCGTCGCGATGACGACGAGGCCTTCTGTTTTTTCCACCGTTGTCGCGGCGATCGCCATCGCCGCGCTGCTGAGCAGCCTCCTCCTCCTGCAGGCTACCCCGGCCGCGGCCAGCGCGAGGGCCTCGAAGAAGGCTTCGTGCGACCTGATGCAGCTGAGCCCGTGCGTCAGCGCGTTCTCCGGTGTGGGGCAGGGCTCGCCATCGTCCGCGTGCTGCTCCAAGCTCAAGGCGCAGGGCTCCAGCTGCCTGTGCCTCTACAAGGACGACCCCAAAGTGAAGCGCATTGTCAGCTCCAATCGCACCAAGAGGGTCTTCACCGCGTGCAAGGTGCCCGCGCCGAACTGCTAAGCCTTTGCATTTGACCATTGTTCAGTGAGGCAGAAAACCTGTCACCGCTCGCAGTACTTCTCTCGAGAAAATTAGCAGTAATAAACTCAGTTGAGTGCATAACAATCTTGGCATGTACTGTGCATACAGTGTACTTCAAGCTACCCAAACTCCGAAGCAGTTCTGTCTTCCATACTGACAAGTGACAACAAGAACAGATTCAGAATCCCCAAGCACTCGCATGCGAACGACCGTGCTCTACCTCTTACGCTATCGTGTGCACAAGTGCACAACTAACGCATCATTTCCCGGCGCGCCATCCTCCGCTTCGAAGGCAGCAGCAGCACAGCTCCATCTACAAATACCACCCCCTCTCGTGCTCTTCCCAAACCATTCCAACCTTGCTGCTCATCTCAGCACTACTTACCGGCGTTGCCGTCAGCGACGAGCCATGACCATGAAGCCTAACGAGGTGCTCGTCCTCGTACTCGTACTGGCCGTGGTCACCTCTCCAGGCACGGTGTGCGGGGCGTCCCGGACAGCGCCGGCGGCCGCGACGAAGTGCGACCCGCTGGCGCTGCGCCCGTGCGCGGCGGCGATCCTATGGGGAGAGGCGCCGTCCACCGCGTGCTGCGCGGGGCTCCGGGCGCAGAAGCGCTGCCTGTGCAGGTACGCGAAGAACCCCGACCTGAGGAAGTACATCAACTCCCAGAACAGCAGGAAGGTGGCAGCCGCCTGCAGCGTGCCGGCACCCAGGTGCTAACTTGGTGTAATCGTATTTATAAGATTACGGTCTTCTCCGGATGGTGTGGTATGGATCGATCTCATGCTCCTTGGGGCTTCATCTCGAGCCTCGACTATCATCTTTTTTCTTTGGGTAGTGTTACCATGTGAGATTGCGAGTGTGTTATGTGATGTATCCATGTGGCAGAAGTATTAGCTAGCTGTTAGGGCTTTCTGTTAGGTTAGTGTCTTTAGGTGGTGTGTTGTTTTAGCAGTGATGGAAAAATCAGAACATTAAAAGTGGTGTTGTTCATCTTCATGCTTAATGGATCTTTTGTTCTCCTGAGATTTTCCAGAAATAATAATTTCGAATTCACCTGTATAATATATACCACTGATTCCCAGATTACTTGGCTAGAGGTTAAAATACGGAATGAGCACTTTCCACCTGCAGAGGACAGCACTATACAAGTATGCATAGTTCCTGAAGCTACTACTGTATATAAAGAAAGGAAGATTATCTGAAACTATTTCTCTTCTGACAAATAACAAAATGCAATATTTCTGTGCTCTTTTGAATTTAACACTACGGTTATGCAAAGAGCGCAGCAGTTCCTTTCTTGGCGAGGTACAAACACTACTTTTCTTGATTTTGACAATGTTTAACTACTCGATAGATTTTCTTGGCAGATCCATCTTTGTGCTGCTACTTTCCAACATCTTGACGACTCTGCTCATCGAAGGTCGATTTGCAGGTGCCGCTTGTATGCACCACAGACCAACTATGATGATCCTCCTTACAGACTCTCTTGTCTCATCACTGATGTCAGAAATACTATTGCAGAACTGATCTAAGTGATCATACAGCCACTGAGCAAAATACTTAGTGGTAGTGTCAGCACCAACATTAATACGTCTTTTTGCTCTAATCATCTCAAGGACCATCACGCCATAGCTGTAGACATCAGACTTGCTGCTGACTGCTCCGAATTTCGTGGACACTACTTCAGGTGCATCATAGCTATCTCTCCCCCTCGCATTTTGAGCGGATTTCTTGCTCTCTTTCCACAAGCACAGGTTTGCTACTCCAAAATCAGATATCTTTGGACATAGCTCCTGATCCAGTAGAATGTTTCTTGGCTTGATTTTGAGATGCATAATGTTCGCATTGCCGCTTCCGTGGAGAAACTCTAGTCCTCTCGCAACACCAATTGCAATTTCATATAATTTCTCCCAATATATCCAAAGGGAATAATTCTCCTCTATAGAGTCATCATTGCTGAAAGCATAGCTTTCAAGGGAACCATTTGGCATGTACTCGTAGATTAGAGCTCTTGCTGTCCCTTGCAAGCAGAACCCCAGCAGAGGAATAACATTGACATGCGAAATTGTGCCAATGCTGGCAACCTCGTTCAGAAACTCCTTGTCATTACCTCTGCAATTCTTCAGTAACTTAACCACTATCTGACGGCCATCACGGAGGTTCCCTTTGTAGACATCACCATAGTTGCCTTGGCCTATCTTGTGAGCAAAGGTTTTGGTCATTCTTTCAACTTCCGAATAGCTGTATCTTTTCAGATGTTGAGCTCGCTGTTTTTTCTGAGATGGCTCTGCCTTTGGAGGGGTCGTCAATTCTTGTACAGGAGGCTGCTGCCCGTGGTGTTTTTTATGGCACAGGAAATAGGTTATAAGAAGCAGGAACAGTAGTAGTACGCCGGCGAAAACTCCTGCTATTATATCTGCATGGCCAAGAGGGGGTTGAAAATGCATGGAAATGAACTGTCAAAAAAAAATCACAAATCTTTGATGTTACAGTTTCTTGAGTTCCATTACAAGTCTAGTGTCAGTCTGTCATATAGATTAGAGAAATTCTGGGATCCTAATGCTAATAATGCATATATCACTCGATTTCAATTGTAAAATTGCAACTGGCTGGGATAATAGTGCAGCACTACATACTGGATCAGAAATTCAGAATAGACAAAAGTTAACCACTTACATATTCTCCTCTTGGTATGTGAGGATGCGCCGGCTCCTGCAATTTATCAGAGAAAGAACTGTGATTGGCTTGATGTCAAAGAGACCTACAAAGATTACTACTCGCATTAGTAGTAGTAGTAGTAGTAGTAGTAGTAGTAGTAGTAGTAGTAGTAGTAGTAGTAGTAGTGTCATACCAGTTGGCTTGTTCCTGTTCTGCAAGGCGGCCTGCAGCTTCACACTGAAGCTGGAGTCCTTGTCGTAGGAGCGGCTCCACAGCATGATCCCGCCGTAGTTGGCCGCGCCTTCCACCACCGGCAGCACCTGCGACGCGAGCGTGTCCGCGTCGACGAACCCGCTGTCCGCGGCATCCAGCGACGCCGGCAGCCCCAGGAACACGGTCGCCGCCGGCAAGCCGGCCGTCCACTGCGCCCACGCGCTCCGCAGCGCGCTCGCGTCCCCTGGCGCGGCGTACTGGCACGGCGGGTTGTTGTAGAACTGCACCCACACGTGGTCGAACAGCCCCGTGGCGAGCGCCGCGGCGAGGGACGCGTCCGGGTACGGGCACTGCGGCGCGGCGGTGAGCAGGTACGTCTTGCCCCCGCGCGGCGGCCGCGGCGCCCTTGTGTACAGCGACGCCAGGTTCCTGGCGAGGTCGTCGTAGAACCTGGAGGGGGACTCTATGTCGAAATCGACGCCGTCGAGCACGGCGTCGCCGAGCGGGCGGGACGCGCCGGTGGCGCCGCCGCCGAGGAAGTTGTCCCAGAGGTACGCGGCCAGGTCCCGCGCGTCGGAGGGCGACGACAGGTTGTACCCAAGCGCGCCGCCGCCGATGCTGAGGAGCACCTTGACTCCGGCGGCCTGGCAGGACGCGATGTCGGCGGCGAGGGACGCGCAGGTCCCCGACGGGGCGTCGCAGTGGTCGGCCAGGTTGAGGACCGGGGCGCGGCCGGCGCCGAACGTGGAGAGGAAGGCGAGGTTGACGTACGCGTAGAGGCCGGTGCCGCATGTCTCCCCGAGCGTGCCCTCGCTGCCGTTCTGGCCCCAGTAGACGGCGATGTTGACTCCGCCCGATGCCGCCATCGCTAGGTCGACGACGGTGGACATCGACAAGAGCACGGACGCCAAGAAGCAGAGCTTGCCGGACATGGCGAAAGCCGAAAGGTGCCGAGGCGGTGCGTTCAAAGTGCAGATGTGCTGCAAACATATAGTTTGGTTGATTTATGGAGGAAATGGTGCGGTTTCTAGCAATGGGTATATTGAGGAGTTGGAAATTGGAATTCGTTGCAAATGGCAAGGCGGCCGTGTTGTCTCTTGTGCATGGATTAGAGCAGGTACAATAGCATAATGAGGTAAAAGATAAGAGAGAAAAGCAGCGGGTTATAGATCTGTAGCCAGCTGTAGCACGGACTCTAAAACGCAATGTGTGTATGACAGGTGGGACCATATATTAATAGTATAGTAAACAATTATTGTATGAATTAGCTATTAGACTGGCTATAAATGAATTGGAGCTATAAGTGGGTTATACTATTAAACTTGCTCTTAGTATGGAGAGAAAGCTGAAGCGGACATATGGAAGCTGTTTAGTTTGTCACAGGCTTGAAACATTCTGTGCTTATAGTATATTTTTTTTCTCGGAACTACAGAAATGATCGACAGGTTTATTATAGAAGGGAGAAGAGGGATGTGTCACTTACATGTAGGGTCCACTATCCTTTAATTTATTTTTTAACTGAAATGCGACGTAGGCGGCCACGTAGGGATGTAAAGTGATCTGGTTTCAACAGTTCAAGTACTCTATGCCCTGTTTAGATTCAAACTTTCAACTTTTCCGTCACATCGAATTTTCCTATATACATAAACTTCCATCTTTTCCATCACATCGTTCTAATTTTTTCAAACTTTTAATTTTGACATGTAACTAAACACAGCCTATATTGAGTGGAGAATGGAATTCAAACTCAATGACAACATGGGGGACCAGCTCAAGGCCCACTAGAGATGAACAGAGAATAAATCCAACACCAGAATCCAACTGACATGTATGCTACGCATTGCATCGCCCTTCGTCACGCCGCCGCATCCTCCTCCCGCAACTCGCCGTGCTATACCAGCCCATCCCCCTCGACCCTCCGTATGCAGCCAGCCGCGCTAGCCTTCTTTGTGCTCGCCGCATCCTGAGCCACTGCAGTCGCCGGGCCTTGACTCCGGAATCGGTTCGGGCGATGGCGGATGGTGAACTTCTGAGATCTGAAGTCTGAACTACTCCTCTGACTTCAGGTGAGCTCTGACTCTGAAACTGCGATATCCAGTTTAAAGTTCAAGTATCCGTAGTTCTGCATTGCAGCGCAGATGGGAATTTTAGTTGCGGTTTCTAATTTATACAACATTTTATAGAAATTGGAACTGTTTGAAACCATAGCCAACCGATGAATTTGTAATGTACAGTCAATCTAGAGTATAACTGGGCAAAAGAGGGTCGACATTGTAGTGAATTTGGTTTCACATTCCAAATCTCTTCTTACATTTTGTAACCGCTAAATAGTATTTGCAGTTGTACAACACTGGAAGAAGTGAGCAATAATGCTTATTCAATCGAAATTTGTGGATGCTTACCAGCTCAATAGCACTTTTGGTGGCAATTCCAGACCGCTCGTGCTACCTTCTAGCATTTCAACGACTCTAGTCATTGTTGGGCGGTTAGTTGGAACTACTTGTATGCACCATAGTGCAACCACTACCATCTTTCTTACAAGCTCTGTGGTCTCACCATCAATCTCAGAAGAGCTGATGCAATATTCATCTAGATGTTCGTAAATCCATTGTGGGAAATAGTGGCTACTAGATTCACTATTGGCTTCTATGTTCCTCTCCCTTGCCCCAACCATCTCAAGGATCATCATTCCATAGCTATAGACATCAGACTTGCTACTTATTGCTCCAAACTGCTTTGAATAGACCTCCGGGGCAATATAGCCTATTGTTCCTCTTGCACCAGCAATGGAGACGATACTCTCTTTGTTAGCACAAAGCTTAGCCATTCCAAAATCTGAGATCTTAGGGCAGAATTCTTGATCTAGTAGAATGTTGTGGGGTTTAATATCGAAATGCACAATGCGGGTACTGCATCCACGGTGAAGATACTCAAGCCCTCGGGCAATTCCAACTGCTACATCAAATAATTTCTCCCAAGTTAATGAAAGTTCGCCTTTGGAGTTATTGCGGAAAGCATATCTTTCAAGTGAACCATTTGGCATATACTCATAGATCAGAGCCCTTTTGGATCGATGCAAGCAAAATCCTAACAGAGTCACCACGTTGACGTGAGAAGTTCTACTAATACTAGCAACCTCATTGATGAATTCTTCGCCGTCACCCTTGGAGTCCTTTAACATCTTGACTGCTACCTGGCGGCCATCAGATAGGTTGCCTCTGTAAACAGCACCAAATCCACCGTGACCTAGCTTTTCAGCAAAAGATTTTGTCATCCTTTTTACTTCTGTGTAAGTGTATCTCTTTGGATGTAAGGTTCCATTCCTTTGTAGGAAGGACTCAATCCTTGGTGTTCCCTTTGAAATCCTTCTGTGCCTATACTTCTTCAGACTGAACAAACACGGAAAGGAAAGTAAACATAGCAAAAGGACGCTTGAGATGCCTGCTATTATATCTGCATGTAGATAATTTGAGAGGGGGAAAGGCATCAGAACGGAATGCAAATATTTAGTCTTATCCATTACAGCATAGTTGAATACTGATATGGGTACAAAAGATTTGGCTAAATATTAGAAAAGCCAAATCATTAAGAGTGTAGTTCATAAAAATAGTCCTATTGCTTCCTAAATGGCTAGTGCATAAAATTCATTTTCAATTGCCATGGCAGATTTCAGCCCTGTTTGTCACAGCTCCAGCTCTAGCTCCACCTCTCCTGGTGTCACGAGCAAGGATTTTGTGGAGAAGAATCGGGATGAATGGGGATAGATTGGATTATAGTAGATGAAATAAGAAGGAACGGCCTGAACCTAAACGACGCGACGCTCTCTGTCGCAATGAGAAGGTAGGTCGATGGGCACTAAGATAAATCTTGATCTAATGCCTAATTGACATAGGATAGGATCCCTCCTTATATAGATGGAGGACTCCTTAATCTAATCCTAACAAACCTTATCTAATCCTAACAAACCCTAATCCTATCCAATGGGTCTAGGATGCCCGGCCCAAAGCCCATGACACCTGGAGCTGGAGCTCACTTAAAATGGGAGCAGAGCTAGGTGGAACACTTTTACAAAATGAACTAGAGATGTGGAGCTGGATTTTGGCTACTCCACAACTCCGCTTCAGACCCAACTCCTAGAGCTAAATTTTCGAGTCTGTGTAGCACAAATTTTGCTTTGTCTTATTAGATTGTGGACGCAATCATTTTAAGAACACATGGCCAGAGTGAATCTATATGGACACAAATAAGAAGCATATAGAGAAAGATTAGTCTCTTACAAAGTTTCATTCTCCCCTTTAAGCTTGAATACCCTGCAATATTCAAACAGAAATTCATGTAAATAGATTAAATATGCAGTTACTAATAAATAATTGCATACGTACATTATTTGCACTATACTTTTTTCCCAAGATGCTGCTTGCACTATACTGACAACACAATTCTGTATGATTAGTTTTTCGCATTTAGGATTGGTAATATATACTCTGTAAATTGTTACTGGCAATAGTATATCAAGGGCTGGCCCAGGCCTAGGCTTCCACTGCTCTGTCCCAAATGCCCGGTAGGGGGAGAGTCCAGGGATGCTGATGCCCATAAACTAGCTAAAGGTTTTTCCAAGCTCGCATATAGCCTTTGATGCAGCCATGTAGATTTACTCTTTTGGAAAAATAAGTCTCTTTCTTTGTTTGAATTTTAGAACTTTGAATTTTTTTACCCTAGAAAAAAAAAAGAAAAACCTAACCCTTTGAATCTTTGGTATCCTTCAAATCTTTGGTATCCTTCGAGTCTTCGGTACGCTTCGAATCCTTATGGGAAAGTCTATAAATTATACGCCCCTTGCTTGAATCATAATGACTTACTTCAATTTTGACCCTATCCCCCATCAATATTCGTATAGAACTAGACCGGATCTTTCCTGAAATATAGCCTAGGATGATGGTGTCATTCTCTAGGCGAACGCGGAACATTCCGTTGGGTAGGGCTTCCATAACTAAACCCTCGAAAGTAATTTTTGCTATCTTTTAGTTTTAGTCAGTTCATGAAAAAATTTATACTATTAATTTCTTCTTATCCATAATGGATTTACCTGGGCCAATACATTAAATTCTTGTGCTATTTAGGGGATTTGTTCTTCTACTAGGGGGTCTAGGGGTGGTATTACTTACCAACCCAACTTTTTCTGCTTTTTCGCTAGGATTAGTTCTTGTTTGTATATCCTTATTCTATATTTTATTGAATTCCTACTTTGTAGCTGTGGCACAACTTCTTATTTATGTGGGAGCTATAAATGTCTTGATCATATTTGCCATAATGTTCGTAAATGGCTCAGAATGGTCTAAAGATAAGAATTTTTGGGCTATTGGAGATGGGTTCACTTCACTCGTTTGTATAACTATTCCTTTTTCACTAATGACTACTATCCCAGATACGTCATGGTATGGAATTATTTGGACTACAAGATCAAACCAAATAGTAGAACAGGGTCTCATAAATAATGTTCAACAAATTGAGATTCATTTAGCATGACACCATTTATGTACCGTATTTGATTTGCATAACACTCTTATCATGAAAAATAAATTCCACACCTTCTCGAAAAGGGGAAAATAATCCACCTAAATCCCGGACCAAAAAAGTTAAGGCTATTCCTAAAGGAAGAAAACAAAACAAGAAGCGAAAAGGGTACTAGGGTTAGTACGATCTTCAGATGGCTCACCAGTGAGGTCGCTGGAACCGCACCTGAGAGAGCGCACTCGTCCGTTTAGGCACAAGCAGCCGATGAATTCCCCGTCTTGGCTGAAACCGCACCGTCCTTTGGACTCCTCGCACTGCGTACAATTGGGGGGCCTCCTGCTATCGTTCACTGACAACAGGAATCCCTGACGAAGAACCTGGCCGTATCCACCCTTCCTCCATGCGTCACCTTTTGGGTCCATCTGTTGATATTTGACCACAGGAACTTCGAAGGTTTTGCAAAACTGCGACCAGTTCCCAGGCGGCACTTGATCCTTCGGAAGCACGTAGGACGGTCCAATGAGACCGATAAAGCTGCAGGTGATCGGGTCGATGTTTTCCGGTGGGAGGAAGAGATTCGGGAAGGAGCAGCCGAGAAAGAAGACGAGGTAATCCAACGACATGCCAGCAGGGAAGAACAGCCATGAGCCCTGTGCGAAGGTCACGTTGTGATCGACTCTTGGGCAGCCGCTGCTGTCGTCGACGACCTCCTTATCGACCAGGGACACGTTGGTGATGCTCCCAACGTTGATGTAGTTAACCTTGTACTTCTCGGCGCCGTTGAGTTGCAGGATGGGCTTGCCGTCGTCACAATCGATCGCCAGGCCGGGGTATCCGCAGTATGAGTTGCTGGACCCGTTGATATATCCCGTCTTATCAGAAAAGTAGAACGGGTATCTGATACTGACATCCCCGCAGGTGGTTGTTTCCTGCAGGCACATGGAGGTGTCGTAGGTGTCATTGGAAGCGCCATGGGAAGCGGCAACCAAGACAAGGAGGAGCGGCAGCAGCCGGAGACAAAGCTTGAGAAGCATGGCTAGCTAGAGATCGAAGTCAGCATGAACAAACAGTTTGGTTTTGAACAATGGTTAGATGATGCTTAGTGCCCCGCTAGCCCGTTTACTAGTAAGCAGAGATCTGGTACAGTAGTTTGGCAGGTTTCGGGGAAGATGAATGACGTACTGTACATGGCAAGATTAGTATTTGAGACGGGGTCAAGTCAGGGCCACCACGGTTTTCCATTTTGCTCCGGCGAGACACGGTGCGTATCGACGTCCACATAATACTCTAAGACGGATTTTACACTTCTTTTATACTGATAACTAGCATGGTGGCCCAGATAAATTGCGCGACTAGCATCAATATATTTTCTATTATATAATAGCATATATGTTTTCTCAATTTATTATTAAAATATATTAAAATGATAACATAATTTGAATTTTGTATATTCATATTGTATTTTATATACGTGCTAGTTATTAATTATTTCTAATATCAAATTTTAGTTATTTCTAAATTATATAACTACATCGACTCTAGACTCGTCTTTTAATATTTCTTATTTTTTAATTCCGAATTTTCGTTATCTGTAAATTGTATTTCTATATAGACTCTAGGCTCTTCTCCCAATATTATTTATTTTTAGTTCTAAATTTTTATTATTTCTAATTATATTTCTATGTGGACTATAAACTCTAAACTCATCTTTTAATATTCTTTAATTTTTAATTTCGAATTTTCAGTTACTTCTAAATTGTATTCCTATATTGACTTTAGACTCTTCTTCCCATGTTTTTTTTCAGTTTCGAATTTTAGTTATTTGTAAATTGTATTTTTATATGGACCCTAAACTCTACTTTTAATTTTATTATGTTTATTCTGAATTTTAGTTAGTTTTAAATTCCTATACGGACTCTATACTCTACTTCTAATATTCCTTATTTTTAATTCTGAATTTCTATATTTCTTAATTGTATTTCTACTTCTAATATTTCTTATTTTTAATTTCGAATTTCTATATTGTATTTCTATATGGACTTTGTACTCTTCTTCTAATATTCTGTATTTTTTAATTTCGAATTTCGGTTATTTCTAAATTATATTTCTATATGGACTCTAGTCTCCTCTTCCAATATTTCTTATTTTTTAATTCCGAGTTTCAACTATTTCTAATTTGTAATTCTATATGAACCCTGTTTTTTTTCTCCGATTAATATGAGAATTTCTAGGCCGTGAGAGCGAATGTGGAGGCTCCTTTTCCTATTCCTTTAATAAGTTAATAGATTTCCTTTTTGGATTACTACATCTGAATGGCAAAGATATATAGATTTTAGGGGTCTACCAAGTATAAGCAAATGCGGAGGTGTCATGCACTTGGACGTTTGGATGAAATTTCAAAGAAATTTGCTCCGATCCAACAAAAAGTACCTTGAGGTACCGGTACCTCACGGTACTAAATCGTTTCTAATTGTTGGATCTAGTTGGGCATGATGGACGAGATGGCTAACAGGTGATCGATCGCCCGTGGCGCCCCCCTCTCCCTCTTCTCTACGTGGTTTCCTTTTTTGGCACCACATTACTTTTCCTTTTTAGTAAATTTATGCACATAAAGTTTGTGCACCTCAAGTTTACACATCTAAAGTTTAGAGAGCCAAACTTTATAAATCAAAAGTTTATATATCTGATTCAAATTTGAATTTGAATTCAAATATTTTTTATATATAGTATTTATATACATATAAAGTTTATACACCTAAAGTTTATAGACCCAAAATTTATAAGTCAAAAGTTTATATACCCGATTCAAATTTGAATTTGAATTATATCCGATTCAAATTTGAATTTGAATTCAAATATTTTTTTATATAGTATTTCTATACATCTAAAGTTTATAGGCCCAAAGTTTATAAGTCAAAAATTTACATACCCGATTTAAATTTGAATTTGAATTCAAATATTAGTTTATAGACTCAAAGTTTATAAGTCAAAAGTTTTATACCCGTTTTAAATTTGAATTTGAATTCAAATTTTTTATATATAGTATTTATATCCATAAATTTTTTTAACTTTGTTTTTTTATTTTTTTTAAATTTCTGTAGTAGGAAGAGAAGAAGGGGAGGAGGAAGGGGGAGAAGAAGAGTGTATGGGGGAGGGATGGGTGATCGCTAGGAGAAGGGGGAGCGATCACCTGCCCACTAGCAGTACCTCATGATGGATATTGTTAGATCTAACGATTGGAAACAATTTGATACCGTAAGATACCAGTACCTCGAGATGTTTTTTGTTGGACCGAAGCAAATCTCAATTTCAAATAAGTGACTACTAGTTGGTTTGGTATTGTTACAAAGTTATAAAAAAACAAATTTGCTGGACTTACTTAATGTAGACGAGTTGCTGACACCGCTGTTTCTGCAATCCTTGGTGCTCACCTTCCCATTAGAGCACAAGCAACCTAGGAACGCCCTGTTCTGGCTATAGGTACACTGTCCCTTTGATTGCTCGCACTGGTAGCATTGTTCATCTTTCCTTGAGTTCCATGCCAGGTCGAACCCCTTATTAAGCACTTGACTGTATCCACCACTTGGGAGCGCACTCTGGTTACTTGAATTAAGAATACTTCCATTTACCGGCACGACGATGACCTGGCTGCAGCGCCTGGCCAATTCGGACTCTACTCGTGCTCGTGCCTCGAGCTCGCCGGAGGTGAACACGAACGAATCTCCACCGTTAGGAGCGTTGCTGAAGGTTTTGCAGTTGATTTGGTACTGGTCTGCAACACTAACCAGCCCTGGATCGATTGGTGGTGCAAGGTTGAGTTTGCAGCCGAAGAAGAAGGTGAGGTTGTCAGGGGAGCCGGTGTATTAAAGCCACTCATAGGCCTGGCCGAAGGTGACGTTGTGGCCCACTCTGGGGCAGCTGCCGCCGCGGAGCGCATCGGTGTCCACGAGCACGATGGTGTGACTGTCGTAGATGATGTCCAGGATGGTGTAGTTGTCTCCACCGAGTAGGATGGTGGGAGTCTCGTTCCTCCCGTCCCGGTCCCGGCTGCAAGAGATCTTCAAATCGGTGTAGCCGCAAGAAAATCGAGTGTAATAATCGGTGGCGTTGGAAAGATAGAAAGGATAGGAGATATTGACGCCTCCGCACTCTGATGACTTGGAGCAAATGGAAGGGTCGTAAGTGGATGGAAGAGGCGGCGAGCCATGGGAAACGGAGGCATGGACGCCGAGGATAAAGAAGAGGAGCAAACTTGGTAGGCGAGCCATGGCGAGACGACGTGAAGAGGAGCAAACTCTGTTCGTTTGCTCTATATATCCGTACAACGAGTTTGGTTTTTGCTGAGATGTAGTTGATTTGACCGGCATTAGCGACTTCAGTACACGGTGCTAGTAGTCAATTTCGGAGTACAGCAATTGACTGACTAGACTACTAGCAGCGTTGAACATGACAGGAAATTTTAGACCTGATCTGATTTCTTTAATCCCAACTTCCTAACCTCACCCAACTACTCCCTTAGTTCAAAAGGAGTTGGGCCTTGTTTAGTTTCCAACTTTTTTCTTTAAACTTTTAACTTTTTTATCACATTAAACTTTCCTACACACACAAACTTTCAACTTTTCCGTCACATCATTCTAATTTTTTCAAACTTCTAATTTTAGCGTGGAATTAAACATACCCTTTCTCCCTCTGTCACATACTCTCTCCGTCCCAAAATATAAACATTTTTTTTTACTCTGACACAGTCTACGAGATGCTACTTTAACCAACAATTTCTATAAAAATAGGATGTTTTAAATAAAAAGAATTACATATTATGATAGTTTGTTTAATGATAAATCTAGTAAGATTAATTTTACATGATTGATCTTTTTTATCTTTTTGCTATTACTGGTCAAAAGTTAAAAATGTTTGACTTGTCACTATACTAAAAATACTTATATTTTTGAAAAAAGGGAGTAATATAAGAGATTTTGAAGAGATGTGACACATCCTAGTATTATGAATCTGGACATCTGATTTTAGAGGGATGTGACGCATCCTAGTACTAAATCTAGACAGAGATATTTAGATTTGTAGTAATAAAATGCGTCACATTCCTGCAAAATCATTTATATTATGCGACGGAGGGAGTAAGATACAACCGTAAAAGTGATTTTTAATATATTTTTTTCGATAGATGGAGTAAATACTATCCCCGAACCTTTATATTTTATAAAACGAATGTAGTATTTCCTCCGTTTCAAAATATGATGGGCACGACTACCTTTAATTGAAAGGCTACGATCTTCCATTTTGCTCCGTTGAGACACGGTGCGTATCGACGTCCACATAATGCTCAAGACGGATTTTACAATTCTTTTGTACGGGATAATTTCCATTTTGGATTACATCTGAACGGCAAAGATATATAGATTTTAGGGGTCTACCGAGTATAAACAAAATGACGGAGGTGTCATGCACTTGGACGTTTGGATGATACTTCAAATAAGTGACTACTAAGTGACTACTAGTTGGTTTGATATTGTTACAAAGTTCTAAAAAGTCAAATTTGCAGGACTTACTTAATGTAGACGAGTTGCTGGCACCGCTGTTTCTGCAATCCTGGTTGCCCACCTTCCCGTCGGAGCACAAGCAATCTAGGAACACCCTGTTCTGGCTGTAGGAGCAGTGCCCCTGGGATTGCTCGCACTGGTAGCATTGTTCATCTTTTCTTGAGTTCCATGCCAGGTCGAACCCCTTATTAAGCACTTGACCGTATCCACCACTTGGCAGCGCACTCTGGTTACTCGAGTTAAGAATATCCCCATTTACCGGCACGACGATGACCTGTCTGCAGCGCCTGGCCAATTCGGACTCTACTGGTGCCTCGAGCTCGGCGGAGGTGAACACGAACGAATCTCCACTGTCAGGCCAGTTGCTGAAGTCTTTGCAGTTGATTTGGTGCTTGTCTGCAAGACTAACCAGCCCTGGATCGATTGGTGGTGGAAGGTTGAGTTTGCAGCCGAAGAAGAAGGTGAGGTTGTCACGGGGGCCGGTGTACTGAAGCCACTCATCGGCCTGGGCGAAGGTGATGTTGTGGCGCACTCTGGGGCAGCTGCCGCCGCGGAGCGCATCGGTGTCCGCGAGCACGATGGTGTGACTGTCGTAGATGATGTCCAGGACGGTGTAGTTGTCTCCACCGAGTAGGATGGTGGGAGTCTCGTTCCTCCCGTCCCGGTCCCGGCTGCAAGAGATCTTCAAATCGGTGTAGCCGCAAGAAAATCGAGTGTAATAATCGGTGGCGTTGGAAAGATAGAAAGGATAGGAGATATTGACGCCTCCGCACTCTGATGACTTGGAGCAAATGGAAGGGTCGTAAGTGGATGGAAGAGGCGGCGAGCCATGGGAAACGGAGGCATGGACGCCGATGAGGACGAGGAAGGAGAGGAGCAAAAGCGGTAGGTGAGCCATGGCGGCCAGGCAAAGCAGGCGCATCTTGCTACTTCGCCGGCTTTTAATCCTGGGCACCAATTTGGTTCGGTGAGCCACTGAGCCCGCGGTATAAGACGAGTCGTCGTCATGGAGCAAAGAATGCGAGGAGTGGACTTGACCTGGTTTTGCAAAAGGTTTTGGTTGGTCCGTGGGGTCCGGAAGTGGGCCACACGAGAGGCAGGTGATCGGAAGAAGGAAACAACTCGGTCTCTGCGTGCGTCTTGCGGTGTGTGCCGATCCACTGGATCCACGGTGTCACGGACCGGACACGCTGCCGTGTATGGTTTTTAGCTTGACTTCAATGCTAATCAGTAAATTAGCCTAGATTGCTTAGTTAAATCCGATATTTGTATATGTCGCCCTCCAGAAGATCCTTTTTTTTATATATAGAACTGAGCACGAGTGCATTTCGCCGTTGGGGATTAGATATCACCGTCGAACGGCACACGAACTGGTACCATCGAGGACGGTCATGATCAACAGACAACACAGGTACACATTGGATTGCTCATCTACTCAGGATGGTCAGGTAGTGCCACTGCAGTTTTTTTTTTTTTGATAAACTACTCTGTTTGTCAAGAGGATTCTCGCCGCCGGCAGGTAGGAGTTATTAATAAAGAAAAAAAAGAAAGGATATAGCAATTGATCCTCTAAGTATACTCTAATCAACTGCTTGGAGAAGTTGATTATTCGTATTGGTTTATTGATCATTTTTAGTCTTTCTACTAGTAATTCGAATTCGATATCCACGGCCCCAATTCTGAAATCCGAAGCAAGCAAAACACCGAAGAGAAGTAATGACATTGTAAGAGGAGAAGAGGCATGCGTACCGCAATGGCTCTTGGTCGGGCCTTCGTCGCAGAAACAGGTGAAATCCATGGTGGTGGACGTCTCGTTGTGCCGGTAGCCGCACCACCCCTTGGTTCGCTCGCATTTGCCGCACTTGTCGGAGTGAGCGCTGTATGTCAGCTCGAACCCAGCGCTCAGCACATCGCCAAATGATCCGTCCGCGGGAGGAAGACCCCCGTGCGCATCCACCATGGCCTTCTTGTGCGCATCGATCACCGGCGCCACCACCACCGTCTCGCACTCGTAATCGTACGCTTCACCCGTGATCCAGCCATCCAGGAACACGTACGAACTACCGATGTGCTCTGGTCCAGCTCCACATCCAGTTAGCTTCACAACGGAGGTCGAGGACAGCAAGGAGGAGTTGCTCTTGCAGTTGTAGAGGAAGGTGATGTTGGAGTCAGAGGACGCGAGCTGCAGCCAGGAGTTGTCGTCGATGGTGAGGTTGGCGTGTAGGTGCGGGCAGCTGTTGTTTGTGTCGGAGTGTTGCATGTCGGCGTCGGTGAGGGAGATGGTGTGCTTCCCGTACTCGATGTCCAGGACCCTGTACTGGTGTGTCCGGAAGGGGAGAATCAGAGTGGTGTTGTCCACGCAGCGGAGGCCAAGGCCGGGGTAGCCACAGCCCAAGGCGGATGAGTTGTCGATCAGCCAGAACGGGTAGGCGACGGGCACGTCGCCGCAGGTGGCGTTGCGGCAGGCGGAGGGGGAGGCATCGGCCGCGGCGAAGAGGGCGAGCACGACGGGGAGGAGGAGGAGCAGAGGAGGCATGGCTTGTGTGGAGGCGGAGTGCAGACTGTAGAATACTGTTTCTCGCCGAGATTGTGCGGGAATCAAGTGAACGAATTGCTGAAAACGACCAGAGGGCGTGGAACATCACTAGAGCCTAGAGGTCTTGGTCAAGCGGGCGGGACAAATCAGAGAGTCTCAGACAAGGCTCTTTCCTTGCTCGCTTGGCTCCACACAAATTTACTTGGACTATCCCCCTACTTGATTGCTGTTCGGGATCATGTACATTTTGGACCTACATTCATGCATGCTGTTTATTTTGTACTTTTAAAATTTTTAGTTCCAATTAAATTGGAGTTTGAATGAAGGCTGTGTGACAAAAAATAAATCTTTAGGACTTCATTTAAAATTTTGGCCCGAAGAAAAAAAAATCCGTGTTGAAGTTTTTCTAACCTTTTTAAGGGGAACGTTCTTAGCTAGATATGTATACTAAGTTCTCTAAAATTTTTCAGTCTTGTTTAAATTCACCTATAGACCTATGGCCTGTCCAACATACTTCCTCACAGTCCTAAAGCCACCCAAAATTTTTCCTACATGGCATGGACAAAATAAGAAAAAAACTTCTCTGAACTGGCGATCAAGAGATCACTGAGAACAAATGCAAAGTAAATTGGCTAACGGTTTGCTCACCCACCAAGTACGAGGGATTGGAAGTGTTGGATTTGGATAAATTTGCACGAGGATTGAGAATGTGATGGCTATGGTTTAGTTGGGAGAGCCCAGATAAGCCTTGGGCAGGGACACCACCTCCTTTGCGATGAGATGGATAAAAAATTGTTTGCTTTAGCAACTAAGGTGTCAATAAGATATGGACGCAAAGCGAGCTTCTAGAAATCGAATTGGATGGGCGGACAAGCACTCAAGGAATTAGCTCTGGCCTTATATAAACATGCCAAAAGGAAAGGAATGTTAGTTCAATAAGGATTAGAAAAATGACCAATGTATAACTGTTAATGACCAAATTTGGTAAGCCCGAAGTTATCATCGGCCTAAAGTCAGTATCGGCTTCAGAGTCCTGGAATCGGCCGATGAGAATTATCAAGTCGCCAATAGTCGGATTCCTGCTATATTCAGTTAAGGAAATTAATCTATTAAAGGAAGCTTATCCAGAAATGACCGAGTTTAAGGAGGATGCAGCATGGCAAGTTATCTATTAATTAGGAATAGTTTGTTAGTTTCCTTTTATCTTTAGGAAAGTGTGTTTAGTGTCCGACAAGGACTTGTATCAACCCATGGGTATAAATATGTACACCCGGGGTCTATGTAATCTTCTTCACGATCAATACAATTCGGCGCATTGCCACCTTTTACCTTTTCTACTTTATTTTATTGTCCGGCGGGACTTGGCACCTGACGCGGGGCTGCATCGGTGTTCGATCTCCGGCTAAGGGGTAAGTCCAATGTTCTGCCGGTCCATGCAATTGTATCGTCTACATCGGCGTCGTTCAAGGCTGCATCAGTACATTCAACTTCTTGGATTGCTCTGGTTTGGATGATATATTTGTCTACCTATTTATCATATGTCTCTGTTAATCTAGTCTTAGCATATCAATTTAGCTCTATCGACTGCTTCTCGTTTTAGGGTTTCTGCTGGTATCGGCTAAATCGCGTTGCTAGATTAGATTAGCTTAGGCATCTACCACCCTGAAAACTCAGTCAACGGCTTGATTGTCTAGATATTATGTTTCTTTTCATACTTAGTGCTGCATCAATTAAGTTTGATCTACTAAGTCGTGCTTAGAACCATAATCTCTAGCCTGCTTCTTGATTGCCAATAGTGTTTCATCGGGGTTTCAGCTGATGAGTTATCTGGACGTTGCATCGGCTTACAAGGATTGCATACGTATTGGATTTAGCCGATCGCAACATAGATTTTACTGTTTATCTAATCCTGTGGATTTAACGACATCGGACCTCCAGCCGATGTATGCTTTAACCTTCGGATCAGTGTTTATTCTATCATATTATTGTTAGCCGATTGGTTTCTACTGGATTATATTGCTATATTGCATCATCATCAGCCGATTGCCTTTATATCATTATCTACATTGGACATATAGCCGATTGCTTAAACCCTATCGCTATCGGCTGGTATCGACATCGGCTATTATCGGCTATCGGCTGGAACTACTCCATCGGCTTGCCAGCCGATCGGCTGTTTGATCTGTTGTTTGTATGTCTTATCAGTTGCAGGATCAAACTGACTGGCACGCCCGCATCTCAATAATCTTTGGACCTGCACAGGAGTTAAGCAGATCTCCCAGGCCGGTGTGTTCGATTTTTTGTCAACAATAGCAGATATTAGGCACAACCTCACAGTCGAGCTTGTCAAGGAATTCTTTGAGGTTGTCTACCAGGTATGGAACAACGACATCGTCCTCGCAGAAGGTGTCAATGATACCATAACTTGGTGATGAATACAGTCCGAGGTCAACCTACATAGCACAGTTTAATGGAAGGATAACCTTAGCTGCAACAAAACTAATTTGGAAGTAATAGACACCTTCCAAATGCAAAAACTTTGCATGTCTCTTGTTGCATAACAGGATTTGGACAACGGACCGGCTACCTATCAGACAATGACCAAATAACTATTTTTGTCAACTATGCTACAAGAACCTAGAAACCGCTCAACACTTCTCAAAGATTGCACTTTTGTGCATCAAATCTAGGAGAGTGTTTTGAGTAGACTGAACTGCAGCGAAATAAACCATTCACACGATGAAAATAAATTATTGCTGGAATGGTGGATCAGAGGAACATCTCGAGAAGGGAAAAATAAAGCTAAAGCACTTAAATCAATCCACTTGCTGGTGACATGGAAAATATTGTGTGAATGAAATAAGTGTTTGGGAATAAAGAGAAAACCATGTCGCAACTATTGACCAAAATAAAGAATGAGATCAAGCTATGGAGCATGTGTGGAGAAAAAAAACATCTTGAGAATATCTGCTTAAGTTTCTATGTTAACGTGTTTTTGTTTCTGTTTTCTTCTTCCCCTTCTCCTTCCGTTTCCATCACCATTTTGGTGAACTTGTAAATACTTTCTCCCTTTCTTAATACAATATCAGCTTAGCTTAGCTTTGGTTTCGATAAAAAAAAGAGCGACTAGTATTCCAGAAAACATCAATTTTGCAGGTATGCAGAGACCCACGATGCTGGAAACACTGTTTATGCAATCCTGGCCGGCCAGCCAGCTGCTTTCCCGTCGCTCGGAGCACGAGCAAACCTACAGACATACTGCTCTAATGGGCCGATTGACTACTATTGTACAAATAGGCTATTGGATTGATAAAAAATAATTTAAAACAAGTAGTCGGCTGAGAAACTTATTCTTATTTGGTAGCGTGATGAAAATCAGGCGTTAAAACAAAAACCCTAAAAAACATAAAACAAGTTTTACTAGTAGGGAGGAGAAAAAAGTTCGAGAAGTTTCCGTTTTCGGATGTGTTTTCGAAATGGAAAGTGTCTGTCGGAACTTTTTTGAAAATTTCAAAAACGAAATGAATTTTAAATTTTCTTTCTATCGGAAACAAAAACGAATACAGTAAGGCTGCTATCTACCAAAAACTGGAAACTAATCAAAAACTTTCCGGAAACATAAACTTTCCATATACAGCTAATTAGCTTTAGCCTTCTCTAATCGATGTTTAGATTTCTAATGAGTATTGAGGTGGTTAGTTGAATGAAGGTATTTTTTTTAAGTATAATGCTTTAGATATGTTTTTCTTTTGCCTAATTACTATTTTTATGATATACTAATTATAGTTATAGATAAATATAGTTTTTTATTCTCCTAGTAAGTGCGGCGTACAACTAGTTATATTATTATTAAAATTGATAAGAACTAGAAATGTTGATTTTATTATTATAGAAAAAACAAGGAGCAATAAATCTCTTCGTTGATTTGAGAAATTCAGTTTGAGGGATTTTTATATTCCGATAAATATTTGATTTGTACTTGCCCTTTTCTCATTTTCGTATTCGGTAGTATTCGATTCTGTTTTCGTATCCAGGTAAATTTCGAGGGTGGGATGGAGTATCTGCTAGCGTTTTTCTTCTCGCAAATGCTATTTTCTCGATGGATGTCTGGATGGAGTATCTGCTGGGGATGGTCTTAGGTATGTAAGATGATCTGGTTTCAATAGTTCAGGTTACTCTATATTGGTATTGTGTTTTGAGGATAGAATTCAAACTCATGGGGGGACCTTAAGTGAACTTATTCCTTCCCAATCCTACAAGTCCAAGGCCCAGTAGAGATGAACAGAGAAGAAGTCCAACACCAGAATCCGACTGACACGTACGCATGTAACGCATCGCATCGCCCTTCGTCACGCCGCCGCATCCTCCTCCGCCTGCAGCTCACCGCGCTATACGCCTATACCAACCCATCTCCCTCGACCCTACGTATGCAGGCATGCAGCCAGCCGCGCTAGCCTTCTCTGCGCTCGCCGCACCCCAAGTCGCGGCGGTCGCCGGGCCTTGACTCCGGAACCGGTTCGGGCGACGGCGAACGGTGAACTTCTAAGATCTGAAGTCTGAACTACTACTCTGACTTCAGGTAAGCTCTGACTCTGAAATTGCGATGTCCAGTTTACAGTTCAAGTACCCATATAGTTCCGCATTGCAGCGCAGATGGGAATTTTAGTTGCGGTTTCTAATTTATACAGCGTTTTATTGAAATTGGAACTGTTTGAAACCATAGCCAACCGATGAATTTGTAACGTACAGTCAGTCTAGAGTATAACTGGGCAAAATAGGGTCGACATTGTAGTGAGTTTGGTTTCAAATTCCAAATCTCGTCTTACATTTTGTTACTGCTAAATAGTATTTGCAGTTGTACAACACTAGAAGAAGTGAGCAACAATGCTCATTCAATCAAAACTTGTGGATGCTTACCAGCTCAATAGCACTTTTGGTGGCAATTCTAGACCGCTCGTGCTACCTTCTAGCATTTCAACGACTCTAGTCATTGTTGGGCGGTTAGTTGGAACTACTTGTATGCACCACAGTGCAACCACTACCATCTTTCTTACAAGCTCTGTGGTCTCACCATCAATCTCAGAAGAATTGATGCAATATTCATCTAGATGTTCGTAAATCCATTGTGGGAAATAGTGGCTACTAGATTCACTATTGGCATCTATGTTCCTCTCCCTTGCCCCAACCATCTCAAGGATCATCATTCCATAGCTATAGACATCAGACTTGCTACTTATTGCTCCAAATTGCTTTGAATAGACCTCCGGGGCAATATAGCCTATTGTTCCTCTTGCACCGGCTATTGAGATGATACTCTCTTTGTTAGAACAAAGCTTAGCCATTCCAAAATCTGAGATCTTAGGGCAGAATTCTTGATCAAGTAGAATGTTGTGGGGTTTAATATCAAAATGCACGATACGGGTGTTGCACCCACGGTGAAGATACTCAAGCCCTCGGGCAATTCCAACTACTACATCAAATAACTTCTCCCAAGTTAATGAATGTTCGCCTTCAGAGTTATTGCGGAAAGCATATCTTTCAAGTGAACCATTTGGCATATACTCATAGATCAGAACCCTTTTGGATCCATGCAAACAAAATCCTAACAGAGTCACCACGTTGACGTGAGAAGTTCTACTAATACTAGCAACCTCATTGATGAATTCTTCGCCGTCACCCTTGGAGTCCTTTAACATCTTGACTGCTACCTGGCGGCCATCAGATAGGTTGCCTCTGTAAACAGCACCAAATCCACCATGACCTAGCTTTTCAGCAAAAGATTTTGTCATCCTTTTTACTTCTGTGTAAGTGTATCTCTTTGGATGTAAGGTTCCATTCCTTTGTAGGAAGGACTCAATCCTTGGTGTTCCCTTTGAAATCCTTCTGTACCTAGACTTCTTGAGACCGAACAAACACGCAAAGGAAAGTAGACATAGCAAAAGCACGCTTGAGGTGCCTGCTATTATATTTGCATGTAGAAAATTTGGGACAGAGAAAGGCATCAGAATGGAATATCTAGTCTTATCCATTACAGCATAGCCTGAATACTGATAAGGGTACAAAAGATTTGGCTAAATATTAGCAAACCAAAGCATGCAGAGTACAGTTCATAAAGACATACTCCCTTGATCCGTCCCATAAAAGACCAACTTTTGGGTTTGAATTTAGAAGTTGGTTTCTTTATGGGATGGAGGGTGTAGACCTATTGCTTCCTAAATGGTTAGTGCATAGAATTTATTTTGAAATCTCATGGTAGATTTAGAGCTTATTTAGTATAAGATTTTGCTGTCTTTCCACATTGTGGACGCAATCATTTTATAAACACATTGTCAGAGTAAATTTGTAGGGACGCAAATAAGAAGGATATAGAGATATAGAAGTCTCTTACAAAGATTCTTTCTCCTCTTTAAGTTTGACCCTGCAATATTAAAACAGAAATTCATGTGTAAGCAGATTAATATGCACTTACTGATAAACAATTGCATATTTGCATTTATTTCACTATACTTCTTTCCAGGATTTTGCTTACACTGTACTGACAAGACATATTTATATGAATAGTTTTTAGCCTACAGGATTGATAACATAACTTGTCATAACTTGTACTACATATAAATTGTTACTACTTGCCATAGTATGTCAAGGGCTTGGCTAGCCGGCTAGGCTTCTAAATGTCCTGGTCCAAATGCCCGGTAGAGGAACAGGAGTCCAGGGATGCTGATGCCCATACACACTAGAATACTAGATATGAAAGGTTGCTAAATTTGCATGTAGCGTTGATGCAGCCATTCAGATGCAGGATGTGATTTATATCCTGTATTAGTATGCATAAAACTCTTCTCATGAAAAATAAATCCCTTGCCTTAAAAAGGGGACGGTAGTCCACCTAAATCCTGGCCCAAAAAAGTTCAGGCGATTCCAAAAGGGAAAAACAAAACTAAGTGAATGGCTAACCGGCTAAGTCGCTGGGATCGCACCTGAGAGAGCGCACTCGTCCGTTTGGGCACAAGCAGCCGATGAATTCCCCGGCTTGGCTGTAACCGCACCGTCCTTGGGACTCTTCGCACTGGCTACAATTGGGGGGCCTCCTGCTTTCGTTCACTGACAACTGGAATCCCTGACGAAGTACCTGGGCGTATCCACTGTTATTCCATGCATTGCCATTTGAGTCCATCTCCATCAGTTGATATTTGAGCACAGGAACTTCGAAGGTTTCCTCACAAAGCTGCGACCAGTTCCCAGGGGGCACTAGCTCGTCCGGGAACACGAACGACGGTCTAGTGAGATTGATGAAGCTTCCGCAGGCGATCGGGTTGAAGTTTGCCGGTTTGGGGGCGAACGTCGTGAAGGAGCAGCGGAGAAAGAAGACGAGGTAATCGACCGATATGCCGGAGAAGAACAACCAAGAGATCTGTGGGATCGTCACGTTGTGATCCACTCTTGGGCAGCCGCTGCTGTCGTCGACGACCTCCAGATCGGCTAGGGACACGTTGGTGATGCTCCCGTAGTTGATGTAGTTAACCTTGTACTTCTCGGTGCCGTTGAGTTGCAGGATGGGCTTGCCGTCGTCACAATCGATCGCCAAGCCGGGGTATCCGCAGTATGAGTTGCTGGACCCGTTGATATCTTTCGTCTTCGTAGCAAAGTAGAACGGGTAGCTGATACTGACGTTCCCGCAGGTGGTTGGTTTCTGCAGGCACATGGAGGTGTCGTAGGTGTCGCCGGAAGCATCGCCATGGGAAGCGGCAACCAAGACGAGGAGGAGCGGCAGCAGCCGGAGACACAGCGAGAGAAGCATGGCTAGCTAGAGATCGAAGTCAGCATGAACAAACAGTTTGGTTTTGAACGATGACTTGATGCTTTGTGCCCCGCCCGCCCGTTTACTAGTAAGCAGAGAGCTGGTACAGTTGTTTGGCAGGTTTCGGGGAAGATGAATGAGGTACTACATGACATTACATGGCAAGATTAGTATTCGTAGACGGGGTTCTAGGCAGGGAAGTGGATCTTGATATCTCGAGGGAATATCCCTTCGTTGTTACGAGATGTATAAATTGAATTTTTACTTGCATGTTTATAGAGTGATACATCACATGTTAATACATCTTCTTAATTTTTTTTTCAATTTTTTCATAACTATTTAAGTGACATGCAAACAACGAGGGGATATCCCCTCAAGGGATTAAAATAGTTTTCCTTCTAGCCAAGGCACTACGGTCTTCCATTTTGCTCCGTCGAGACACGGTGCATATCGACGTCCACATAATGCTCAAGACGGATTTTACATTTCTTGTGTACGGATAATTTTCTTTTTGGATTACTACATCTGAACGGCAAAGATATTATCTAAAACAAATTAAAAATGTGAACGGCAAAGATATATAGATTTTAGGGGTCTACCAAGTATAAGCAAATGCGGAGGTGTCATGCACTTGGACGTTTGAATGAGATTTCAAATAAGTGACTAATAATTGGTTTGGTATTGTTACAAAGTTCTAAAAAAACAAATTTGCAGGACTTACTTAATGCAGACGAGTTGCTGGCACCGTTGTTTCTGCAATCCTTGGTGCTCACCTTCCCGTCGGAGCACAAGCAACCTAGGAACGCCCTGTTCTGGCTATAGGAGCAGTGCCCCTTTGATTGCTCGCACTTGTAGCATTGTTCATCTTTACTTGAGTTCCAGGCCAGATCGAACCCCATCTTAAGCACTTGACCATATCCACCACTTGGCAGCGCACTCTGGTTACTTGAATTAAGAACACTTCCATTTACCGGCACGACGATGACCTGGCTGCAGCACCTGGCCAATTCGGACTCTACTGGTGCCTCGAGCTCGCCGGAGGTGAACACGAACGAATCTCCACTGTCAGGCCAGTTGCTGAAGTCTTTGCAGTTGATTTGGTGCTTGTCTGCAAGACTAACCAGCCCTGGATCGATTGGTGGTGGAAGGTTGAGTTTGCAGCCGAAGAAGAAGGTGAGGTTGTCACGGGAGCCGGTGTATTGAAGCCACGGGTAGGCCTGGCCGAAGGTGACGTTGTGGCGCACTCGGGGGCAGCTGCCGCGGAGCGCATCAGTGTCTGCGAGCACGATGGTGCGACTGTCGTAGATGATCTCCAGGATAGTATAGTTCTCTCCGTTGAGTTGGATAAAAGGGGTCTGCTTACTCCCGTCCAAGCTGCAAGAGATCTTCAAATCGGTGTAGCCGCAAGAAAACTGAGTGTAATCATAGGTTTCGCCGGTTGCGTTGGAAAGATAGAAAGGATATGAGATGACTTGGAGCAAATGGAAGGGTCGTAAGTGGGTGGAAGAGACGGCGAGCCATGGGAAACGGAGGCATGGACGCCGATGAGGAGGAGGAAGAAGAGGAGCAAACGCGGTGGGAGAACCATGGCGAGACGACACAATACAGGCGTCCCCGTGTTTCTGTTCGCTTGCTCGATCCGCAGTAGTCCGGACGAGTTTGGTTTCTGCTGAAAAAGAATCCATCGAACACTTGTTAGTTGACTTGACCGGGCTTGAGCGATTCAGTACACGGTGGTAGTCCGTCTCTGTGTACGCGCAATTTAGGCTGTGTTCCCGACTCCGCTGTCTCGTTTTCACGTGCACACTTTTAATATTTTTAATTAATATTTAAAAAAATTGTAAAAAAATGCTTTAAAAGTTATATTAATTATTTTTTAAGTTAATTTTAGCTAATGCTTACTCCATCCGTCCCTAAATATAAGAGATTTTGGTTGGATGTGACACATTCTATTTTATGTCCAGATTCGTTGTAGTATAATGTGTCACATCCCTTATATTTAGAGATAGAGGATTAATCATGTGTTAATGAGATGTTCCGTTGGATTCCCAATTGGATAACCAACCGCGTTGACACGATGGGAAACTATGGGTGTGATTTAATTCTTTTCCAATCATAACCTTATATCAATTTTTGAAGAATGATAAAGAAATTTTCATTGCCAATTTTTCGTGGGAAGGTTGTTTAAATTACGGATTCCAAACCTTGGCTATATTTCTTGCAAAAAGAAGATAGAATAATTGTGATTTTGTTTGATTTAATACTACCACCAAACTTGCGTTTTGTGTTTGTGTGAGCCATGGGCAATTCAGTAAGTCGAATAATTTTGAGTAAATTGCGTCTGCAGTACATAAATTTGGTAGGTGGGTGCGATCTAGTGTAAAAACTGGAAAAATGAGTATACAGATGCAACAACTTGGCTAGTGTGTGCCATATCTTATCTTACTATAAAGTTATTCCCCACTAACTTCTTAAACTTAACATGCAAAGATGCCACATCATCATCCACTAACAAGATGCCACATCATCATCCACTAATTAACAAGATGCCACATCATCATCCACTAACAATCATCACATTTAAACATCATGCAAACATACTATATATTTATAGTTTTTATAATTTAAGAGCTTTTCAAATACAAACATATTAAATTATCATCCAACATAATTCACATAATGTTTCAATGTATATCTTTATTATGTTTTATGATATCCTATATACTTATATAATTCATCCTCACTTAGTTAGAGCTTAAATGATTAATCTATGGTACAAATTATCTTTCTCCTTTTTCCCTCTAATTAAGTCGTATCACATCAATTGTTTTTAGCCTTTAGATGATTAATCTACGGTCTAAACTATCTTCCTACTTTTCTTCTTCCATAAAATCATACCACCTTAATTTTTACATTTGAATCACTATTCTATATACTATTTAAATTTAAATTATCATAAACCACATTAATTTACTTAATCTGATATTATTTAGCTATCTTACACGTTATTTTTTTATTGTTATCATACTAAATTCTCGCAGCAATGCGCGGGGTTTCACCTAGTAAAAAAAATGCAGCCACCCATGCCATCTCAACGAGGATCTACATGTATCTTGCTTTTAATCTGTTAGTTATAAAAATAAAATAATCTATCGATTTGAAACCAAAAGATATATGATTATCAAAAGTAAGTACATGCAAATAACATAATTTCCGAGCGATTCGATTAATCAACATATTCATTATCTCGAGTTATGAACATGGCAGAACACGAAATTAAATCCATCAGTCAATGATCTAGCAATACCAGGATTAATCAAATGTATGCATCAATGTTTTTGACTAAAATGCACGTTATTGTCAAGTTTATATACCAGTCTACTCATTTTTTAAGTTCTTGCACTAAAACGCACACGCACGTACCTACCAAGTTTTTTTTACCGTAGATGTAATTTACTCAATAATTTGATAGTGTCAATTTGTTTTCTCCATACTAAATGAACCCTCTATCCCAAAATATAACAATTTCTAGCATTTCAAATTTATCTCAAAATATAATAATTTCTTCATTTACATTCTCTTTTCAACCAATAAAAAAATAAGTCCACGTGTCGAGCAACATCTCGTGTCGTAAGTTAAATGTACTCAACTACTCCCACCTTTCCTTTTGAAAAATAAGCCACCACGTATTGATTTTTTAAAAACAACTTTTCAATAGAAACTTTTTTAAAAAAACACACACCGTTTAACAGTTTGAAAAATATATGTGTGGAAAACGATGGAGTGAAGTTAGAAAGTGTTTCAAAGAACACATCCTAGCTAGCCCAAACGGGTACCCTGATGCACGATCGATCGCTAATCACTGCGTCACGCCGTTACAACCTGACAAAGCGACACTAAATCCATTTCACAAAAGCCCAACCCCGTAACTCATTTCTGAGGATCTTCCTTTAGGCCTTGTTTAGTTATCAAAACAGAAACTTTTCACCCATCACATCGAATGTTTAGACACATGTATGGAGTATTAAATGTGAAAAAAAAAACAATTACATAGTTTGCGTGTAAATTGCGAGATGAATCTTTTAAGCCTAATTGCGCCATGATTTGACAATGTGGTGCTACAATTGACGGATTAATTAGGCTTAATAAATTCATCTCGCAGTTTTCTGGCGGAATCTGTAATTTTTTTTTGTTATTAGACAACGTTTAATACTTCAAATGTGTCTGTATATTCGATGTGACAACGAAATCCAAAATTTTTCCCCAACTAAACGAGGCCTTAGTCCATGAGCACCTATATCAATGTTGGCCCAATCCAAAAACAATATGCATATATTTTGCACATATGACATCTTTGAGTATGGAAACTTTCTACGTATAAATTTGAAACAAATTCAACATCTTGTATAAATTTGAAAACAAAATAACATGTTAACCTAGGCAAAGAAAATACTTAAAACTTTAAATGCAAATAACTTTATACATATAAACTGTATACATAGGTAGTTTATATGTATAAATTTTATGTACATAAACTTTATCCCTATAAATTTTGTTGATATACATTTGAAATGAATAAAAATAATTTATTTAAAAAAACACAAAACATATATATGGGACGTGAGGACCATATGATGTGCCCGAGCACATGAAAGATTAGACTCATTTTACCATAACAGAAAAAATCACACTTCTCATGGACCAAAAATTAGCAACCCTGGTCCGATGGTGCATCATGCATAGGAATAAGTTCACCGGACGTCTCTCAACTTAAGAGTGATATTTTTTTAGGTCCCTTAACCACAAAACCAGAAATATATACCTCTAAACTCACACAAACCGTGTATAAATGGTCCCAAGGCAGTATATATGGGTGGTTTCGCTGATGTGGCATCCTAGTCAGCAAAAATTTTTTAAAAAAAAGTACATGGGACCCACATGTCAGCTGCACATATTTTTTCTTCTATTTTCTTATCCTTCTCTTCTCTTTTCTATCTTCTCTCTTCTCTTCTTCAGGCTGGCGGCGGGCGGAGCGGCGATAGGCACATGCGGATGCGAGCGGCGGGCGGATCGGACGTCAGGCGAGCTCGGCCTCCGGATGCTGCAGCACCATGATGTTGTTCGGTGCCTTGGCCGCGTCGTTCGCCCTAAGCTTCTTCCTCATCACCATCTTCATCTGCCCTCGAGCCCTCCGCATTGCCTGTCGCCGGCGTGATCGTCCACTGGTCATGGAGCAGGAGCAGCAGCAGCCGACGCTGCCCAGGTTCGGCCTAGACACCGCCACCATCACGCGCCTCCCATCGTTCATATATGTCACACCCCAATCTGGCACCGCCGTACAACGGCACCTGACAGGAGCGTGTCGTGGGAAAAACGGCGCGAACCGCTTCCTACGAAACCGTGATCTCAGTACCAGTCCCAGGACATAGCGCTGGTACCCACGGTGACAAATATGAATAATTGCAATCCTTAAAATAAATAGAGGACTTATTTACCTTAATTTAGGTTGCATCTCAGAACAGCCCGAGATTGCAACCGACGACGCGGACGAGGAAACACCAACAACAGCGGCAACAGCGGAACCAACGGACTAACACCCAACACCACAGGCGACGGCTGGGAACCAGGACGAAACCCTATTCTTCACTTCACTTCATCTTCTTTTTAAGGCGGAGGAACTATATATATATATTTATATAGAGCAAGGGTGAGTACTTTTGTACTCAGCAAGTCACGGGAATTTAGGTATTTGATGCAAGCTTGGAAGAGAGGCAAGGTTGTTTTTGCAAATCTTTTGTTTTGAAATCATTTTGAAATCACTAAGTGATTTATTTCTTTCTAAGTTTGGGCCGAAAAGAGACTTGCGTCTCGATTCGACTTTAAGAGATGTTTTTCAACAGCTCATTTGGTAATGTACCGACCTTCCGGGTCAGATCATTACTTCTCGGCTCCCAGAGCCATTCCACTTGATTAATCGGCTCCCAGAGCCTTTTTCATTTTCTCGGACTCCCAGAGTCCAGCTGCCCAGCAGCACAACAATCCGCTTCCACTCGGGAAGCCTAGTCTATGATGCCCGTAGATATCCCGAATCACACAGATTCGTTTCTTGACCACTCAGGTCATCCATCTGCCACATAGGCTGATTCTGGTAACGATTCCCACACCACAACAACTTTTCTCAAAGCACAGGCAAACAAATCTACGCTATAGAAAACACCTCACATCCACCCATGACCGCGGGTACGGCTGTTCGAACAGTTAGTTAACCTCTGCAGAGGGGGTACACTTTACCCACACGACATTACTAACCCGGATCACCCAGCCCGTGAGATCAGCCACGTCGGGAGACCTTAAGGCTTTCATGACAAGGCATTTTGAAAGCCGACACAGGTTCACCATATGCCAACGAGAGGGGTCCCAGACCAACACCAGATTAGGTCCCAGACCATACTGTGCCAGAAAGCCCGAGGGTTCTCCCCGACACCACCCCGTTGAATCCACATGTCTCTTGGCATCATGGCTCCCCGATTAGCTAATTACTCAGCCAGGGGCGTCCCATTGCACCCGTGTGGTCGCACTTGTTATATGCTCGGATGAATTTCCCACAAGAATCGGTCCTTATATGCGAATACGGGACAGTGCCACACAGGCACAACCCCCGCATC